TGTTTTTACACAACATGTGGATTCGGCTTCGGTTGTAGTTCTGTTTTGCTTGGACTGCACCGTATCTTTCCATCACATGAGAAACTTACAGTGGGTGTCACTGGAAGACAAGCGAAAAATGTCCATACTATGCATAATGTACACTGGTGGACGTACCAACTACTAAGTACCTAATACCACTACTACGGCTCAGGAAAGAGCAAGAAATAGACATGCCTTCAAGTATCAGAGTTATCAACCAAGGATTCTTTCCTAGAATCATCGCAAAGTGAAACTCGCTGTAACGAAGTACAGTAGGGTCATTATCATTAGATAGCTTTAAAATGTTTTAAGTTAGATGTTCGAGGATTAGGTGTAACACGTCGTTCGGTGTAGTGTAGCCAGCTGCCGCTGCGCCGCGTGCCTGTTAAGCTGTTGTGTTACGCCGAAGGGTGGTTACACCGGCTATACAAAGGAGTAAACTGCATACCCTACGTACTTTGAAATTCAAATGTGAAAAATGTATATTTCAGAGTATAGAAACGACATGTACTTTCGTAAGGTATCCTTTATTCTACTACTCAAAGTTGTCTATATAAGGCCCTGCAGCGAGATGTATTCCTTTCAGTTGGATCAACTGATTGTAAATAACTCAAACTGGTGTCTAAAACCTTGTACATAATGGATGTAGAAAATGAATAGATGCGCATGGTGCTTTATATATCAAAACTCGGAGATAACAGAATATCCAGCTCCTGAACATGATAGACTTATCATTTTATGGTTTGGAAGCTTTTAGCTTCTTGAAGTACAACCTAGACCATTCATTTAGGAAATGTATTTTCCAGGAATTTGCTGCATTGCCATTGAGTTTGCTTTCATCCCTACACGCACCGACCCGTATGGTGTTTGGATGTCAATTAGCCCCGAGCTAGGTGTCAGAATCGATCTAAAAGGCACATTCGCCTGGGTGCTCGTGTACGTGAAGAGACTATATATTCCAGCTGATTGCTCCATTGGTCGTTCTCTGGTCGAGACTTAATGCATTTAACGTTTGCACAGCTCAGTTTCAACACTACAGAGAGCTGACAAGCTTTGGGAAGATTTGTAAAATGGTTCAGAGAGTGTATAAAATATACATCTGCTTGAGAAGGTACGACCACTGCTTCTGGCTACCTTTCTGTAAGCAGCATTATTTTATCATGTATTAAGAGTACGAGTCAAAAGACTAGCTGTATGACAATACAAATTCATTAGAATTGCTGAGGTCGTGTGGCGTAACGACAGAGCGTTCGGCTCGGAACCAAGAGGTCCCGGGTTCGAACCCAGCCATGTCACCGATCTTGTGCCCTTGGGAAAGGCACTTTACACGACTTTCCTGGGTGTTGGCCTAGCGAAGCCCATCTAATATTTTGGAAACAAAAAGGCAACAGAATCTTCAACTAGTTGCCTCAAAATGAAAGAAGAATGAAAAAAACGCCGCCAGTTTAATAACGTCTCCCTATTAGCAGAGAAGTAAAACTTTTGAGCGCTGTGATCACGTCTTGCTGAAAAAAGTCTGCCTTCACTATAAACAAAAAAAAAATCTTCGGTAATGTAAACTTTTTATTTTCAATTTTGTTGGCTTTTAGTTTACAGGCTACAAGCTCAGCTAACAGTCCGGTAAAATGTACCGCTGGAAACTTCAGTCGTTAGTGTTCTTTTATAAACTTAATGAATCTACTGCAGTGGGAATTTATGATGCCACAGCCGTTTTATTTCCTCCAGTTCCTTTAGTGAGTAATTTTAGCGCCAGACAGGGATTAGAGGCCTCTTTGGCGCACAATTTAGAGTACTATGTGTCAGGAAATATATATTCCCGGAACACCCGGAAGAAGACATTAAGATTGCCGGGTGATTTGTTTTACTGTGTTAATTTGTAATTCACGACATTGAAGCAAAAGAGTTGCACATAAAGTACCTGTAAAACAGTGATTGTGTGACTCTCAGTTTTACCACGTGAACCTTGTTGCAGATCATTAAGAGACATAAAGAATCTAGACGAACATATTTCCTTTTACTGTCAGGGCACAAGAAATAATACTGCGATGTAGTATAAGTAGCGAGACAGTAATACACACTCCTGTACACCACAAATAAATGTTATTGTCTTATTCCAAGTTATACCTGATCCATAAATGATTTCATAGTCTTCTTTATGGAATACATGTACATCGCACAAACATAAAGTTATTCTTTTGTAGCTACAGTATTGATTTGTAATTCAGAAGGCCGTGGGCTGAAGAGTCAGGCGCCATGTTATCGCTCCAGTTTTATTAATTGTCTGGAAGCTATATTCGATTTCCCTGAAGGTTAGGACGGATATCATGAACAAAGTTTTGTGAAGCTGGTCATCTAAGATTTGTTTCTATCTTTATTCCCTGTTCAGATTTTACATTTCTGCTGATTTGCTTTTTTTTTACAGATATATCCTTATTCCTATAATGTAAATGTTATACATGTATAGCATACGAAAAAAAACAGTTACTCAAGCAACTGGATATGATTTTTGAAACGGTCAGACGTTTCAGACAGCATCCCCTGCTTTCAATTTTTAAGAAGTTCCAAAAACTTTTCTTATGATGTATGATGTATTTATGATGTATTTTCCACTTATTTGCATATCAATCAATATAGTTCGTGCTTGTAAACTTGCTGACAAGTCTCCAGTGTCACTGACGAAAGGTAGTGGATGCTACATGAAACGTCTGACGGTTGTTAGAAATGATATCCATTTGCTTGAGTAACTGTTTTTTGTCGTATCTTATTGCAAGGATGTCCAATGCACCAATGTAGAGCACAAAACATTACTTAGTATGAAGCAACATCCAACCAAGACAACCATCTATGGAAGTCTCCCTAAAGTGTCTCATAGGCTGCCGGTTCCCTTGTTATCAGGCAAGTGAAGAGGTTATTTCTTCTCTCATTCTCTGGAAACCCAGAGGAAAAATCTTCTCCAGAAAACTCAAGTATCAAGGAGCCCTCTCTAGCGACACAGCGTTTGACATAGAAGACATCAAAGCAGTCATGGCAGATAGGACAGTGAGTTTTACCGAGTGGTTCAGAGACGTACCCCGTGCCTCTGGGTCGACAGATGATGTTGATAAAAAAGCGGTAAAAGTAATGTGATCTCCCCGAGACACAGTGCTTCTAGGGGCCCCCGAAGATCTTTTCTCTTCTTAGCTATCTTATCCGGAATAATGATCTACTTTATACGTTGGTCCAACAGAGGAATACTGGAAGAGCAACTTTGTCAGCCTAGTTAACTGCTAAAATGTACCAAAGCTTCATCATCCATACAGTGCAGCATTAACGTAATGTTTCCCTGGGACCAAGCTTGAGATATGGCGAGATACCAGAGAAGTTAATAACTCTTGGATTAACAGTCTTGTCCCTGGGAAATTTCAATTTAACGCTAAGTAATGCCTTCAGGCGCCATTTCATGACTCCGCTGAAATATTGTATGGCTTTTGGAAAATCATAAAATGGGAAGAAATGGCCGCTTGACATTTGCATCGTCGGCCATGAATCCGATATTTCCATTTCGTCTCGGCAAAGCACATTTGGCGATAACCCTAAAAGCCCTGGAAAAATGAGATAGCTAATGGAAAAGCCGGATGATGTCAGATAGACTTTTGCAGTGAAATTCATCCCGAAGTTTCAGGATCATTCTTCTTACTAGAATAACATTTCTGAAATTGATATCAGAGTAACAATTACCATTTCATGATGGAAGCGGGATATCTACATTTTTACGGTCACGGTTGGATGATGATATGAAGGACTAACTGCCCTGTGCGGTGATTTGACTATGTGGTAAATGAAAAGGATTTAAGTCGTACAGCGGCGCAATATCTATTAGTCATACCTGCCTAACGCCCTTTAAAATGTGCATAATGTGGCTAGAACTAAATTATAAATTATTTGGCAGGATGCAAACGGTATTCGAACCGTACATATTGTGTAAAACGTATATTCTGTATAAGAACCATCAGCCTTTCGCCTAAGGAAAAGGGATTATGTTATGTTACATATGTATGATTATCTGTATTTCTTTTATATTGGATTTGTTTTTGTTAATTCATCCTTTCATTATATGTAAGCGGTAGCGTTAAGATAAGTCTTAGCTAGTGGGTGCGCTACCACTTCGTGTTGTACCGTTTTATTTAGTGAACAATCTGAACAATAAAAAAGAAAAGGACTTCTTTAACCGAGTCTCCTGGCAGCTTTGTCCAAACTGCAGCTTCCTCTAAATTTGGAGATGGAAAACATGTGCATTCTTCCCAGGGCAGTATGCGCCATTCGTGTGGAATGTGCCCTCCAACTGCCAGGTCTCAATGATTTATCCGTCCAGAAATAAACCCACATGAAACAATTTCACGGTTGCGATGTCCTTTGATGGCATTTGCACTGTGTATAGGTCAACCCGCAAACGTGTTTTCAATTATATGGTTGTTAGGACTCATTTGCGGCGCAAATGAAGGCCAAAAGAGCGGAACATCGGCATACCCTCTGCTCTGATTCAAAAAATAAATCAACCTACAAAACGCAAGTCAAGCATAATTTGCCCAACAGAGAAACACGTTTATTTTTTCAATTGAATTCTAGTCGACGCTGCTTAGATATGTAATAAACTACTGCAACGTCGAGGTCGTGTTTTATGGCATCTTATCAATATGCACCAGGTGGTCTGTTCTCTCCATGCTCGGGCGATTTGAGCTTCGCTATATAAGATATAGTGCTTATAGACTCAGCCATGACTTAGGAAGCTCAGCAAAATAAATTGCACGTGACTAAGCTGACTACATTTTTACTTCGCCCATGATTGGTGCCCACCCGTGTTACCGGCATTGACAACACTCCTAATTATGCATTCGCGGTACAGACAGCTCGGTCGGCGTAAACACTACGCCGTCAGACGTCGCCGCCGCAGCTAGCTACTCTGTCAGATGTGACGGCGCCGAGCAAAAATACACTGTGTGTGTTTGAGGGATGTTAGACACACATGCATGCGGTCAGGCATGGTGACCACGAAGCTTCAGGACTTGTTTTCAGTCGGATGCGTTTCATGCTAGAGCTTTGTACATGAGGAAACGCACAAATACAGACAGAAGGGAAAACGTGTTACAGTATACGGGATATCACCTATAAAGCCAAGCTGGCGGTTCGGCAGTTTAGCGTGTAGCTAAGGACGTGTCCAGGGTGCGACTAGCTCAACAACAGCGGGTTAAGCTCCATATGACGCCGGCAGACCAGTTTCAAACAACCCGGCAAAGGCACAGCATACTTACAACGGTAAGATCCATCTCATATGCATGTGTTATACAATGTAATGGCTACCGACTGTAAATTGGTCAAAACATTTACTCGGTGAAATGTAACAATATTGTAATGTAGAAATACTGCCTGGATGAAATATTGTATGGGTGTATGGTTCATATTTTTGATACGTCGAGAAGCAGGGATACATATGGGCCTTCAGTTCTGGCAATTTATGATTATGGTAACATGATATGAACATGGGTGGCGGTATGGTAAGTTGAACATATAATATATATCTTCTTTATTTCTATTCAATACACACGCTTTAAGAGACGACAGAATATTTTATCACGTATAGCGACTCGGGTGTATTTTGAAAAAAAAACAACTCCCCCACACCTTGTTTCAGTACATGCATTTTAATTTGCTGCTATATAACATGTTATCTCTTCTGCATCATTGAGTCTTATCTATATTTTCCCATACGACAGCTGTCAGGCCATATTACTTAGACGGCGATATCACGTAATGTATACCGTGCAGCTATCTGTATGGGTCAATGCACTATATGGACCTATCTATCTAATCGCACATAGCTATGTGTACCTTCAACTCCTGAAATATGTGAGATTAGAGTGTAATAAATTGCTTCTGTGTCAGACAAAAGTTGCCTTTATCTAGGATGACCTAATTACATACAAATCATACCAAAATGCATTCCATGGCTGCCTCACTGAAAAGCTATCTATTCCAGCCTAAAGCGACAAGGTTGTCTTGATAAATGAAAGTCTAACAAATCCAGGAAAGATGCCAAGGGAGTGTAGTGCATAATGAATAAATATAAGACCTTTTTTTGTATGTTTATGCTCTTACAAGCGAAGTACGGGTCAGAAATAAACAGGAAAAAGAATACAGCAAAAGCACTTAAACTATACATACTGTGATATACTATTTACAACTTCGTCTCGCCTCTTGAGGCAGTTGTAGATTTACGAACATATGAAGCTAATGATACTGTCAAGTTTAATAAAGAATACGAATTTTTTATGTTTTGTCTACAGCTGGGTTATTTATCTATTATATAAGTAAATAGAGGTAACCCCTCTCATTATTGAACTTTGACTCGTGTGGACTTATTGATACAGTGGCTAAACACACATGACAAGGCGCCGTGTTGGAATATACCACCGTATCGATTGCTTGTCCCTTGTGTCTAGCTAACACATTTACTCAGATTATCACCCACTCGATTACGTAGGTAATAAATACTGTTTGCGTGTGGAACAGTTGACAGTGTATCGTATTTGACGAGAAGATATATTTAAGTCTTCCGTGTTCGGTTACCGGTTTTAGGCCACAGTCCATATGGCCAGGTACAAAAATGTAGAACGACTCCACGAAGAAACAAAGCTGACATGTAGTCTGTTGTCCCTTATCATTAAATATGCAATAGCCCATTCTCTTTTTATAGGCTAGGGTAGTGTCCTTGTTTTCTCCGTCACTATGGCACCATTGGCAACCATCCGACCCTTTATTGTTGGGGTTTACGACCGGAAAAATTAAAAGCAATTACTGCAATTCGTAGCCTTGTGTATTCTGATGTAATGGTAAGGTTTTCACGGATAATGCCACATACAAATAATGTTATAGTATTTTGCTATTAATAAAAAAACCAACAGTGCTGCAATTCGTCTACTTGTGTATTTTGATGAATGTGTAAGGTTTTCACCGAGGGCGTCGGATACAAATAGTGTTCTATTTTGCCATTAATCATAAAAACGAGAGTACTTTTCAAGATTCAGATCATGCACACAACCTGTGGTAATAGGGCATGCTAAAACCATGTGGGGATTTGAATGTGAACTGTGGTATTTTGATCAAAAGGTACTTGCGGAGAGTCTTGCTTAACCAAAGGGCGAAAGTGATTGTGTACATAAATATCACTTTTGTTGGCCAACATTTTTAAGGTTTTGAAATTTTATGTTACGGAAATATTACCGAAATCTTCTTCCCTGATAAACCTTTGAACATTGCATTTGCTATGATTTCTGTGAAACAGTTTGTCTCAAGATACATGTACATCAGGAATATGTTACATAAGAGACCTAAAAGGATTGTGTATCTATATTACATTTCATGCGTTTTATCTCTGCCATATTTCACGGTTGCACCCACGCGTTGCGTGCTTTACACCTCTCAACTAGACATCTGATATATAGGTCTTACTCACGTAACTTTTAAATCCTCCTATGCTAATTGCCTACCTAATCCACTGTAGATATGAAATGACTTGGAGCATTTGTTATTTTCATGCATGTACGGGGCATATGAATAAGACCCAACTAGATATCATTCATCTTGTGCTTAGGAGGCTGAGAATATTTTTCAAAATGAATATAAATAAATTCCGTGAGGAGCCTGCCTCAAAAGGTGAATTTTGAACCTCTGTCAGAATGTATTATTACAGTAGTGGCTTTGAAAAGAATGCTTAAAACTATTGCCTTTGACAACGTATTGCCAGCGTTTTCCCAGTTAAGAAGCTTCAGGAATATCTTGTCATATGCAAAAAATGATTATTGATACTGCCCGCAGTTGAAATTAAAATTAAACATGTTTTCTCTCAGTGAGTTACCACAGGAAATGACGGAAAACATAGCGATAAAACAGGATTTATGTTACAATTATTCAGTTGATTTTTTGTCAAATGATTTTTTGTCAGAAATAAAATCAAAACTTCCTACGGAGTTTTGACACAACCAAATACAATCATTTACTAATTCAATCACTTATTTTAATATCATGCTTGGCCTCCTTTATTAGATTTTTAATTTCCAGACAAATGAGGTATTGTGGCTTCTGTGACATGATTAATCTGTTCTATGGAATTATTAATTTGTGATGCCCCAAAGATTTGTCGCTGACGTCAGGTTGTGTCACAGACGGCGCAGCTCATTTTGTTTTTCCTGAGAACATACGCCATTGCTTGAAGCTGAATCTTGTTGTAACCTTGGCCACACCGATTTAATTTTATGGATGACATCCCCGCGCGCGTATTGATTTTCGACTGCTCTGAAAAAAATCACCCCCGAGGAAGCTCTGGTCTGGGTGCCAAACCATGTAGATAATGTCTACTGTTCATTCACACAGTCAACTATATCAACAGTGTAACAAAACTCGAACAAAGGAAGCCTAATAATCATAATGATACATAGTCTTTCTTTATTTTAGGCATAACTCGCCCATATACAACATACATATAAAATACACACATAATTACATCAGTAAAAGAATAATATGACTATATATACAGACGGGCCCAGTTATTGCGAAAGAATCTGCTGCGGAATATCACTTCAGATTTAAGAACAGATTGGATAATGTTGTTTGAGGACTTGTATAGACGGGATATGAATGAGTAACATTGTTTACGCCATGTAGCATCAAATGTGTCAATCCTATTGTAGACAAACATTTCACTTGCACTATAGTGTAAATAAATTACAATAAGTTACAATCTGGTTCTTTATAGCATAGAAAATCTACTAAAAGCATCAATGTACAAAATAAATGTTGTGTCAAGAGGCAACAGAATAAGGTTATAGAGTTTACAAGATTGACCACATATATAGAAATAGAATTATTCATGAGACTTTTGCGGCATATATCACATAAATATCAAAACAAATTGGTCTGCTTGACGCCCAATGATTTCCAATGAGACTATAACTCACCCTAATAGAATTATATCTCTTTGCAGTGCGGTCTCTTGGAACCTAAATAATGTAATGCTGCCACAGTGAATACATGACCTATTCCTTTGGAATGAGTTGGAATTTTATTTACCTTATGTATCATTACTAGTGTATGGCTGCCATGCTTCTATTGTACTAGGTTTGGTACATTTACAGTAACCTTTGTTTATATATTGAACATATCACATTATTGTGCTTTGATTTGAATCACATGGTACCCACATGTTCAGCAAACTTGATCGAAATGAGAGTTATGTTTCGTGGATGAAAACGTCAAACAAAACAATGTTTCTAAGATTATTTAACAACAACGCTATTTACGCAAGCAAGGCAATGTTTTAATAGACAAGTATTCACATCAATAACATGACAAAGTTAACAACAAGAGTTCCACGATTTCATGCTTAACCCAAAGTGATGTTGACCTTTCCGACTGACGAAATTATACTTTTTATATTTTTCTCATTAATGAAAAGAAGATCCTCATTTAATTTCCATCATGGATTATTTTAGTTAATCGCATTTTCCACCTTATCTTACAAAAAGGCTATTCTAGCACTTCCTAAAATATGCAAATGAGGTAATGATTTGAATAAATTATGTTTATTTAAGTTCATCTTCCCTTAACTTTCAAATTCGGCAAGTATGGAAGCCACGGGGGGGGGGGTCATATGTAGGTCTAATCAAGACCGGTACCTACCCACCTACCAAGTGTCATAACGATACATATAAAGCTTCTTGAGTTATACTGTTCACAAACAGCCTGACAGACAAACAAACGAACAAACACTACTGAAAACATAGCCTTCTTGGTGAAGGTAATGAATTTTTCTATACAGAATTAGAAGATTTCAAACCAGCTACGTAGACACACCTTACTCTCTGATGTGTGCAAGCGATAACACACTTCTTAGCTAAGGTGATCGAGTACAGGCTTAGCCGTGCTAAGCTCTTCCCAGCGTCGTGGTTTGTTGTAATTGAACCCCTATCTAAAGACTCACGGTAACGGTCCTCGGGATAGAACCTGTCCGACGATTGTCAATTTTCCATCTCTCTTAGGGAGTGCGCATTTACATGGCGGTACATTCTAATGGCAGCTTTATCTACTTTGCAAACAGGAGTGAAATAGCGTGGGTGGGGTATGGCGATGGGCAAGGCATACAAACATGTAAAAAGGACATTGTATTAAACATATGGCCACAGCAAGTAATTTTTATGGATGACATTAGCGCGCGCATTATCTTTCGCCTGATTTTGAAAAAAAATCGTTGCCCTCTGACAGTGCTAGTGGCCAACATGCCGAAAATGGGCAAAGATGCCTGTTACCATGCTGGAACGTGGATTGCAGATAAATATGAAAAGAGGAGACAAGACAAGGCTCTGATTTAATGTTTTGTCTTTTACTTTGATGCAGTGACGTATTTCATTCCTTTTATATGCGATGGTGGCTGTGTATAAGTGATGTTTCCATTGAATCAAAACCATTTGTCCAATGAAAACTTTTATTTCTCAAAGTTTTTTTCGGTGACAAATGGATGTTGTAATAGTTGGCAGTAAACTTAGTGCAATATAGGTATCATTGTTTTACAAGGTTTATGATGTGTCAAATTTTGAAAATGAAGGGATCTTGTTTTGGTCCGCCTTTTTTCGCCCTATCGCATTAGATTTGGAGTCTGTGGAGGATGTCATCCATAAAATTTACTTGCTGCGGCCTATTCAAGCGAAGCTCAGTGGTATCCTTTATTACTACCCGGAATCGGGCCAGTGAAATGTGTGCCGACTCTCTGTAAATGGCGTATACCAAAACCAAGACTTGACTTTTGACGGAGTTACAATATGTTCAATTATTTTCAAAACAATCTTTGCACATTATATTTCTAAGGCTGTTATTCTTTGTGGTACAGTACTAGTCTCCTATGTGTAGTAGTCTTCTGTATGGCTGGTGCTAACAATCTTGTGAACTTCAATCGAAGTAGCGAACCATTCATGCCCTTGAACGCACAAGATTGACCTTTCAAAAATACCCTTTGTACAATTTGATCTTGACCGTAACCTACCCGTGATTTCGTTATCTTAATGCATTTGCTTTTGTTTCATCTGATATTTGTTACAATGATTTAACATTACCCAGTTACAGAACGGTTGCATTTTGCAGCAAATTAGGTCAGAACCGTATAATACTCAATGTTACCTCAATGTTACATGTGAGATGAGAATTTCCATTGCAAGCGAAGTCAGATAGCGTTGACACAGCTCAAGCACCGTGACCGATTACTTATTGACATTTTGTATCTACATTGTCAGCCTACGTTTCTTCACATTCCGTTTCTTCTACAGAACACTGCGTTCTCATTTCCGCATTCTCCTGTTTAACTTAGCTAGGGTCACAACCCGCCTTACGTGTTTTTGTCCATACGTTATTTTTGAAGGCCACGTCTGCTACGTTTTTCTGAAAACGTGAGGAAGGACTGACATTAGCGGTACATCAACGCGCGTCACTCACTCGGTTACACAAGGTGTATGTGAGCGGTTGCGTGCATCGTTCGTTGCGTAAATGGTGAGTTGTACGTGTTTACAACGTACGATCTCTGGGCGATTGCCACTTGACCGTATGCAGGTCGCACTTACACGTGCTGCTTACGTACGGTAGTACCGGTACGTACAGGGCACGTGCGTCGCCCGTACTGGCTCGTACGCAGCCTGAACGCAGATAAAGTTCTGCATGGACGTAAAGTGCTACGGCGTGTATGCGTGCTCCCAAATCCGTTGGATCCCGCAGGATTCCGTACGGAGGCGGTATTCACCACTTACGTATCCCAAAATTTTCCCACGTTTTTGCACGTAGGCGACACGCAGTTGCACGTACGGTGGGTTGTGACCCTCGCTTTAAGTAGCACTCAGTTCGATCTTGTTGACTTTAATGGAAAACAACAGCGCGGCTATTTCACTCTGTAACTTTGACCCTGCCCCCAAAGGAGGAGAGTAAAAAATGGACTTCAAATTGGTCAACCATAAAATAGAATTTGCCTGTTCTTCTTGTTTTTTGTCTCACTTTTGTCAAATATAGCGATTTTTGATAGTGTGTCAGTTGCTAGCAAATCGTTATAGATTATTATTGAATTATATATTTCTTTAGTTAGTTTGCTCTGTTGAATCCTTGTTTTCATTTTAGACATTAAAAACACATCTGACAGCTCTTCTTTATACAGATTCAATCTTATCCTCTAATGCATTGTACCTGAATAAAAATACACATAGAAGCTAAGCGATAGAACATTGTGGGAAATTATAGGGACGCACTAATGCAAAATCCCCTTGACTGATAGGAAAACCACGCAGCTTACCACAATTCTTAACACCCTGTGTGCAGGCATGACTTGAATCACATGAATTTTGTCTAATGGTATGTAACGTGGGGTCGTGTGGCGTAGCGGTAGCGTGTTCAGCCTTGAACCAAAAGGTTCTGGGTCTGGGTTCGAATCTTGAAACGGCTTTTCTCACTTCACTCAGGTACCTAGCTTTGGTTCAGAACGTCCCTCGGATAGGACGTTAAATGGAGGTCCCATGTTTAGGGAGAACCACACACAACGCACGTTAAAGAACCCACCATACCTTTCGAAAAAGATAGGTTTGGTAACCAGGCTAGCAAACGTTAGCCAAACAATTCTCCTTGGACGATCTGTTATGATGAACTTGCTTGAAAACTCGTTCTCATATTATTACAGTGTTATAGTTGTATCAATGTAAATGCCTCATATTTCTGTAGAAATCTCATTATATTGCATTTTGCCAAGAGGCGGTCTTTTCACTGAATGGTCACATTCAAGTGGCCTATGACTTTTGAAATAGAATACGCCACTTGATGTAGAAGTCAAGTAAATTTTATCAAATTCATCAATGAAATTCTATTGAGTTCAATATAATATTCACTCAATGCTCGCCGCGTCTGTGAAAGGAGGTCAAGGTAGCTGAAAAATATCGATGAAACATTTAGTTTGGGGGCATGATTCCCAGAGGTGGGTGGAAAAAATCGTTAAACATGCATCCTGTGATTGAAACACATGGTCCGTGATCAGGCTTTCTATGATCGAATCTCAGGGGGGTTTTGAACAAAGACATGAGGCCACAACAAGTAAATTTTATGGATGACATCCTCTACAGACCCGGCATGTTGACCACTGTCAGAGGGCAGCAATTGTGTTTCAAAATCAAGAGAAGATTAAAGCGCGCTCATGTAATCCACAAAATTGCTTGCTGTGGCCTAACATATAGATCAGAGTCCAGAAATCACAGAAGACTCTGCATCTGTATCTAGAGGAACTGGAATGTATTGGTGACCTTTGCAATATTTCTCGAAAATTTCATTCTAAGATACAGAAATTTGTCACTGTGTGTATAGAGCTTTGCTCGAATCAAAAATACTTTCGATACTTCAAATTCCATGGCTGATAATAGCAGCTATATGTGTATGGATACAATTCACAAACAGTCTCATACATGCCTATAGCCATAAAGTTTTTTTAACTCTAGACGTAAGATTAATTTGTTTCCAATTCTAAAAGGTCACACAGATTCAACAGTTAGATAATCCGTCTCCGACCGCGAAAAATATGCTGAGTAAATTAGATTACATTTCATTCGATCAGATTCCCAGAGGTACTATTTGGCAGTGTCCTACAGCCGTTGTTGATGTCAATCTATATTGACCCCGTGTGTCCATATAAAAGTACATCTATTTTCTACCGGCCAATGCTTTATCAAGGACATCAAAGGTTACTTGACCCGAATGCGTCAGGAACTATAAATTCAAATTGCCAAGCTGAAACATATGTGGGGCTATGTGTCACAGTCACCTTGTATACACCAGACACATGAATTTTGTGCATCTCTACGAGACCATTTATGCTTAGGTCACATTTCCAGACCGGGGCCTGGCGGGGCTATTTGTATAAAAGAAAAATTAACAATTCATACCAAGATTATACAGATATAGTGCCCACTTTTCTGTGTTTTCTTTTCTTTTATATAATATTTTTCGTTACCAAAAGCTGCCCTGCCGGGCCCCTCGTAAAAATTGTGACCTCAGCATTACTGATACTGGTATTTACTGTGCAGCTTTGCTATATTAATTTCACTTACTAACTTATCTATTCAATTGCCATGCATTTGTAGAAAAGAATATGTTAGTCAGCAACGTCCTTACATTTATTTTATTTTATTTAGGAAGGATAGCCAACTGATGAGAGACACGTCTGAAAATTGACAAAGCATGGAATCTCCACCCATTCGCCTCCCAGATACGACGCAAATTTCTATGCCAAAAGGAAGATTCGACCACTGGGTGGATGTTCATTCTACATGGGTGACACCAGCTGCATCAAGCGCGGAGAGCACTTTATCTCGGCCGGGAACCAGAACAATCACTCGGGCCAACTCTGACTGGATGATAACACTCTTCAAAACATCCCCACAGAGCCAGCCTGTATTTACAGACTGTTCCAGCCAAGTCAACGTCATCTCTCGCTTCAACAGTGACGGGAACTTCTTGAATCTTGATAGAAATATTTCCTACATAGACCTGTTGTCGAGTGCTATGAAGAATCCCGATGTCAAAGTAGCCGCGGTGAATGTGACGAAGATGAAAAATAACTCTCCGAGCAAAGAAAATGACAAGTCCTCTCTCAGCACAGATACAACAGAGGGCAGAAGGACACGACACATGATAGAAAAAGCTGTTGAGTGTAACATGGATGATTTCATGCAGCCACTGGCGAAAAATGAAAAGGCGACCAGTACCGGCAGCCTTCACAAATTCGGGAATATGTCACCTTTAGTTACGCGACCAAAGGCTTGTGCTTGCCAACCATCTTTGAAAGAAGATGGCGTAAAACGCGAAGCAGCTATACCTAATCAGGAACCCACTGTCACAAATGCATCGGTTGGCATTTCAAACATTAATACCAGGCATGACAAAGCGGTTGGAATGGATTCTGAGAGCGTTAACGAGTTTCCATCAAGTAGCGAAGAGAAAGACCCGCATGATCATAGAAAAGATGAAGAATTGCCATCGCGAGAAGTGATGAAGGAATTCCGAAGCAAGCGTCAGACAAGTGACGTTTCTGAGTATGATAAAGCTTACGAGTCTTTGTTGGGAGGGCAAACCTCTCAAACTAAGGAAAGGCGCATCTCACACGGTCAGCAGACCGAACCTGAAGCTGATAGACTAGACAGGGGACCATCGAGAGGATCCATGCGCTCTTTTCGAACTAGACTGTCAACTGATACGTCATTGGACTTGGAGGACCCTTTCGATGTGTCAAACGCACATTCTCCTACGATGAAAGAAATTCGTGAAGATACGGACAGAAAGTTTGAACGCTGGATGAAGAAGTCCTCCAAACGGGATAGTGGCAAAAGCGGAAGGTCATCATCACGAAACACGTCCACGAGTAGTGGCAAATCCTCACGACATGCTTCTGCATCTAGTGCCATCGGAACCTTGCCAGACGAACGTTGTGAAAGAGTGAAGGACAATCTTGTTAAAACAATTTCAGAGGGGGTCCATCACCTTAAAAGTGGTGGAGATAAGTTGCTTACAGCAGAACGTAATGAAAAAGTTCACGACCTAATAGAGAAGGCAATGTCCTCATCATCATCAACGAAGGTCAAGGACAAGTCAAAAGTATCCCCAGTAAACAAATCACCAGTTGGTGACAAGACGGAGAGCACTGAAAGCAAGATTTCTCATTTGTTTCCCAAAGTTGTTGTCGGACAAAACCTGGAAGTGCCAAATGAATCTCAAGATCTCAGAAGAAAATCTATCGTGGAAGATGTTGTATTCGATGAGACAGGAATGACGTGGGGAATCTACGGGGCTGAACTCGACGCCGAAACGCTTGGAGACGCGATACAGAAGCACCTGGAGCTACGAATCAAACAGCTGCAGAACCAATCAAAGGAACGGGCGATGTCAATAGATATGGAGAGAAAGCAGTCTCGTTCAGAGAAGCCTCCGCGCTGGCTCTGCCCACTTTGCCGATTCCTTTGCCTCAAAAGCAAAGAAACGTAGATAGCATAGTAAAATGTTGAACTTTATTCCAACACAAGGTTACACAGAGATGAAATTTTCAACAACTGTCACCTTCATCATGATAATGAATGACCAATCACTTCAAAACGTAATCTCGCGAGAAACACGGTTACAGACACGTGACCTTATTCACGAGATACTTTACGGATACGTGACGTAAGCGGTTGAAAATTTGATATCTGTGTAACCTTGTGTTAGAATAAAGTTCAACAATTTACTCTGACTACTACCAACAGATGAAATGTCATTATAAACGTTTATAAAGCGTTAGTAATAAGGATTTTCCATATTCCGTTTTGTGATACAGAATTATGTGTAAAGACAAACAGTCTTTAAGATTCTTTTGAACCTCTAGGTTACGTAGATTGTTATTTTATCAATTGCCATTGTTGACAAATAAAGCTGAATAAAGGGATATGTTTGAAATTCGGCCTGAAGGTACAAAATATTTACCCATGGGAGGAATTTTTTTCATCTTTAAAATTTTAATAGAAAATCGTGTGTCTTGTATTCTTGACAAAATCGCCACAACCTGATTGTACTTGTTAAGTAAAAAATGTTGTGAATTTATGACAGTCTGCAATGTACCTTTATAAGACATGTTTATGTAGAGTGGCCTTGTCCTTGTTAATAAAACAAACATATGAATATCACACAAGAAGAGAAAACTAGAAACGAATCCAGAAGACTCCTATGCTCGATTTGCAATGTTATGGTACGTATACCTATTCCAATATTAGATCATATTATATATCTAATGTTTCTTTAGTGTCATATATAAGATACACACAAAGGTACGGTATGTTAAGAGCTGGCAACGTCTATTTCGTTATTGTTTGCCAGGTAAAAAAATTGAATAGTTGTAGTACTTCTCTGCACTCTTATATCTTTATTCTTGTTTCTATATCTTGAGCTCTTTGCACTTATGTAAAGTAGTCGACGTAGTCTTGAAATAGTGAAATCTTGTATCAGTACGACTTGATGCATATCTTTGTATGGTATAGTTTCTTAAGGTTTCCAAACGACATTGAAAGTATTAATATTGAGCTGCCGATCATGAATTAATCATAATTGGTCAGTCCATATCTTGAACTAGCCAAAACACTTCTATCCATCATCAATCTTTAATTTCAACTTTAGAACTGCTGAATACCTACAGTTATAGTTTTGTTTGTTAGAAGTTGTTGCACATCGTTACATCATAGGGATACATGCATTTACAGATCAGCCACCAGAAATAAAGCATGGCAACAGTTTAAGTCAGCCAGCTTTGATGTTGGTCCGCTGCATGCAAGGAATAGGTAATAATTGATTTTGTACACCAGTCTGGCCACGTTATAGTTTGCAGTGCATGTTATTTCTCATGTGGTGTATGTATTTGTTATTCAGTAAAAGTGCACTTGATGTTCAGTAAGGTCGAACATATGAAGGTGTGTTGGTCTACCAAGTATTACTTACAGGAGGAAAAGTATATGTTTTTGTACCGTAATATGATCTGTTGCAGTAAATGTATACGTACCAAACGTCACTGGAATAAACATATCTACTGAAAAAGTCATGCTCCAATTGTGCTAGAAATGATTGAATTAGTAACACTGATCCTGCTCCGTCACTTTTCGATGGGCGTAATATTAGGCAAAATATATGATATTAAGCAAGTGATATTTCTAAGATATGACATCAAAAACAGTATTGCCGAAGTCTAAAGCTTTTATTGCGTATTGTAAAAATTAAATGTGCCATGTATGTCAAGAACCATCCAATTACACTTTTTTCCTAGTAAGCAATCTATAATGATCACACCATATAATTTCCTACTATGATGAAATAGTAAAGAGTTAAGAGTTAACTGAATTTAACTAACTTAAACTATTGCAGCTCTAGTTTGATCTACATTGCAAAAATATCGCTGAAAAGATATTACTTTCCATATTATACTTGTAGAGAAATGCAATATTACTAGTATATCAGAAGCACAATAGCTCATATTTATTTACTGTAGTAAACCTGGACATATCTAAAATTCAACCAGTCTGCATTAAAAGCTATTTGTCTACAGCAACAATTTCAAACCATATAATAGAAGAAATATTTATGTTTATAGGAATATACTTTTATTGTAAATAATGCATAATTCTAAGACCGGTTCTTTTCACCACAATATAGTTCCTATGATTGTAAACTGATCCAATTACTTAAAACCTCCCGTTTAGTAACAAAAGGTCAATATCTAAACTCAGTAAATTGATTTTCTATTTACCGACCAATCTTTGCAAAAGAACGTAACAGCAATTTTCAACTTCTCAGCGCCACCTCTTCGTTATGTTTTTATCTAAATTCGACTGCTTTGCTCATGCTCGTAGTAGGTTCCGTCATACACAGGGTGACTGATGTTGGTGTTGTTCATATCCGGCTGCTTGGAGAAGACCTACAGGAGACATATACATGCCAATGTAATTAGTTTTCATCAGATCAAAAATGATAGCGCAAATGAAACAGAAATGTTGTTTAACTTGCCAAATTATGAATACTTTACTAGTATGTAGTCTACCCACCGTGGTAGAGACAACCTCTCCGTCGGAGGCTCCGGTAGTGTAACCGGTAGAGGTCCCTCGGGGGTCGCGGGTAAAGAGCGTGGTGTGTACCGGCTCATCTTCAGTGGAGCGCTGCTGATCCTGGATGGAAAACGTCAAAGGCCATGAGATGGGATGTACAAATAGATACCCCACTGTAAGATGTGGTATCAAGATAACAAGCTTAAGGCGGCTTTAAAGACGGGCATCTTTTTTGAAGATGAAAGAACATCACACGAGCTAGTGAACCTTAATCAAATCACTTATCAGAAACACGTACTACGTGATGCATTGATGTAATCTATTGATGTAATGCATTGAGGTTGATGTTTCGTTTTTTGACAGGTTTTCTGTGTAATTGAAAGAAGCTTTGAGTAACGTTATGAGGTGTAAGATCCTGTTCAGTGGATGAGCAAGCTGGCGCCGTATAGTCTTTTTTGGCATATCCCAAGGACTGGTACATAATATAAAGAAAATGAATGCAACTGATTCGGTAAAGGTTAGACAGCCAGGTAATAAGATACGCCAAAAACAGTTACTGAAGCAACTGGATATGATTTTGAAAACGGTAAGACGTTTCAGGTAGCATCCACTACCTTTCGTCAGTGACGCCTAAGACTCTCCTAAAATTCTCCCGTAGTCTCTTAGTGTCTGTCTGTGACGAAAGGTAGTGGATGCTACATGAAACGTCTGACCGTTTCCAAAATCATATCCAGTTGCTTCAGTAACTGTTTTGGTGAATGCAAAATGATAGTTTACCTCCATTGTGAAGGCAGGGTTATGGTGGCCTACTTCTTGAGGCGGAATACGTGTACTGATGTACTCATGGTAGCCGATAGCTTGTTGTGTTTTCGTGGTGGACGCGAAGGTTACTCCATGGGCGTTGAGGTCATCGCTGAGGACTTTGGGGACATCGTGCCCAAAGTCCATAATAGCAAGCTGCGTTTCTAGTTCTCTGAAAATATACCGTTTCTATAAATCAGTATATGACAGTGCTAGAGATATTTTAAAGAACGAGCAGACAACAAATTAAATGATCTTGTATCATTATGACAATGTGTGGAATTATTTTAGATTTTTAAACCGGTGAAAACTATTGGTATAGATAAATTCTACGAATAAATGAAAAGAATCATGTCAATACTCACTGCTTTTCTGTGAAGACTGGATTGAAGTTGTCTTCTCTATAAAGAAAATGAAAGAGAAAGGAGACGAGAGAATTGTACAAGGTATGAATTGAAGAAAGCAACCTATAGATGCAGATCTACATGTGAGATACTGAAAAGCTGTAGGTCGATATAATTATTTGACATACGTGATACTTTATATCTGGATGTTTTAGAAATGAAATTAAAAAAAAAGGTTACCATATTGCAATTTTTTTCACACTTACGGTGCGGGCTCTGGTACTGGTTCCACTAACAATTTACCTGTAATGCAAGTTAATCATTTTTTATTATTAGATTTTCTAGGATAATCTATGATATTCTGTAATGGTGATATTAATTTCTTTCTGTTCATTTGTTTCAAGCTGAAAACTCCTATCAGATTATCTACGAACTTAAACATAAGAAAGAATTCCGTCAAAGTTTCCAAGCAGATGCAAATTGGTACTCACTTTGCATCTTCTTCTTGTACCTAAGAAAGGAAAAGACATATTATCAAAATACGACCTCAACAATGCTACAGACATCCATAAATGACAAAAAGTGGAAGCAACGGTATGTTTTGTCCAAAATGGAGATGGGAACATAACGACACCCATGCCAGATGACTAACCAGTGTCTGCAGTAGCAGAGGAGGCACAGCAGAAGAAGGAGGGCCAAGAGTAGTAGGGCTGCCAGGGCGATCATGAAGGCCTCCCAATTACTGAACCCCTCATACGCACTGCCAGTTTGGGCACTCTGAATATAATAAAATCAACATACATAATAAAAGAGGAGATTCAAATAATATAATATAATTATGTGTAATATAATATTTTGATGAAGGCTACACATCCAAGTAACCTATAGATAGACTATTTGAGCTTTCCTACCGCATAAAATACAGTGATCACTACCTGACATTTATTTCCTCACTTCAGAACTTACTAGAGTGAACTAACAGAACAAATCAACAATTTTGTAAAGTAACTGGAAAAATACGGTTATACATGACAAAATCACTGAATTTAAATCACAGTTACTACAGATACACTCACGCGTGTTCCAGCCGGTACTGGGCATTCTGGTCGAAGCGTGTTCCAGTCCACTCCATCAACGATTCTTAAAGGAAAAAAATACACATTTTTACATTCATATTTTGTTTGCTTTAGGTCTGTCTCTCAAATTATTCACTTGCAAACCTCCCTCTGTAAGGTTTTAAGATGTCAGTATACATTACTACAATTGGTCATATATTTTATAGTGCCACCTACTTTTTCCCCTCTGAGGCAGTCAGTACCATGTTTGTGTCCTCATCAATAAGGTAGTAACGCGCTTGAGACCTGCAAAATTTAAAGGTTAAGAGTCAATTGTTGGATTTGGCAGTAAACGTTGCATTTAACATTTTTACGGCATAACTTGTTACACAAGGCATATCTAAATCAACACTGTGGCGTCGTGTGGCGTAACGGTAGAGTGCTCGAATCGGAACCAAGAGGTCTTGGGTTCGAATCCTGACATGCCACCGATCTTGTGCCCTTCATTGGGAAAGGCACTTTACACGACGTTCCTTACTTCACTCAGGTGAAAATGGGTATTGGTTTGCCTCGTGTTGTTGGTGGCGGAATTAATATAAGTTACAAAAAACTTGAGTGTGCCGTTACCACATGTTGGAATATATATCTAAAAAATCAACACTTGAAACGTTTGAACGTACTGTTGTTTGTTGACGTTCCCCTGGCTGGTTGTGCCATACTGCAGCCCCTGATATATCACCTTCCGTCCCGTTTGCTCCTCGAGGCGCCTGGAATCGGAACAACAGCCATCATTTTGCAAAATAACAGTTATTCACAGTGCATTGATATATAACATAATGATTGCTTCTTTCGCACTATCAGTTCATCATCGGTTCAAGATTTTCATGATTTAGAAACATTTTGGAAGAAAGATTTATAGTTTTCCTACCTAAGACATTCGTGTATCCTCGGTGGCTTCAGTGTATCCGGACTAGCATCAAAGACTGTACTCAGTCCGTGCTGTGTAGGCAATGTGTATGCCTGTTGTGGGGAATCAAGAAATCAAGAACTACACACATGCATGGAAACACGGAGACAGCCATGGGTACAAACTCACTTACAAAATCACAAAAGTCATTTAGAATAAAAAAGAGACCGAATATAATAATCACGAAGCTTACCCTGACTTCCGTATCGTCAGTTCTGCCAGCGCCGTCCCTAGCTCGAACATTCGCTGTGAAGTAACCATTCTGATAGTCAGTGAAGAGCTGGTTGGTTCGAAGTTGCCCCGTTTTGGAATCCACCAGAAATGCGTTAGGAACCTGTAGAAAGAAATAAAAAGAAAATCATTACCAAACACATGGTTCTCACATGCACAGAATGTCTTTTTTCCTGGACATAAATATCTTTTCATAACTCCAGCCCTTCATATACATGTACAAAGCTTATAACGATCATTGTGCATGCTAGAATTATATCAATAATTTTGATATGTCATAGTTTAAAACTAAAATATAATGAGAGATCACGGTTATATTTTATCAAAGTATATGATGAAGATTCTACGTTTGTAATTGTCATCTATTTAAACTCACTGGTCTACTCTGTTCACCCGTTATGTCATTCCTGTTGGCAATAAACTCAGCTGACGTAATGCTGTACGAGACGTCACTGTTAACTCCTGCATCGGCGTCGAAGGCCTGTAAAAAGAGGAATTTGTATATTTGCATTATAATAATAATAATAATAATAATTGTTTATTGATTGATCGAAGATAGAAAAGTACAATCGCTAGCATGTTGCAGCGCAACTAATAAGTAGTGCTGAATTATATGCTAGTTTAAAAACAGAGATACAAATATTGCACAGTTAACAAATACAAAACTTATCTATAATATTACGATACATTACAAAAGACATTGGCACAAATATGTAAAATAAGTATGGAGAAGAAGCTTATTGCGGAATGGCTTGAAAAATAAACCACACATAATCTTTCCTTAATCAATTGAATTGCTGTTGAAATTAGAGTAATCTAAGCACAGAGCTGCTACCTTAGACTTGGTCATAGAAAATGAACACAAATTCCTACCTGGACCTGAGTTATAGGTCTGTCGAACGTCGCGTCAGCTGGTATTCCTAACAAATAAATAATTCAGTTGTCATATATAAGTGATAATGATATGAATATACAAACAAACATTTACATGTATAGGAAGGCAGTTGTATAATTGCCTACTGTACGCTTTGCGACTATGCTGTTTTTAAATTAAATGATATATCATATATTATCATATTACCTGCGTAGTAAACCTTTGTCGGAAATGTTGGGTTGTTGTCGTTCATGTCATTGATAGTGATGAGAGCATTACTCAGGGTAGCATCACTAGTGTCGAATGCAATCGGTCCCGACGGACAACTCGAACCCTGAAAGTACTCAGTAATCATTATCATGTTATGGTTTGTCTTGTTCTTATGTTAGTATGATCGTTCTTATCAAAGTTTGACATTGTCTTGCAGATATCGATCATGTTTATGTTTACCTTCACAGAAGGAAAACATATTGTTTTTGCTCTGTTTCATCTAACTCTTCTTCTTCTTCATCTTCTTCTCTAAACAAATAATGTCAATGACCTGAACCAGACGTCTGTCACCAAAGTAACTGGTGTTGGGCTACATCATGTTGCAGTTTTATAGCAGGAGGGATTTAGACTCCTGTCACCATATATAAATATATTTAAGTAAGAATTTATGCGTTATGCGTTTGCTTTCTAAATGTTACATTTCTAGTTGTTGATAAATTGAGTACATAAAAGTGCGTTACCGTTGGTACTTTCTTGATGACAATCTCGTATAGTGCCTTTATCTCCCTATCTGGCTGACCCACCACTGTCACCAAACCAGTGGACTTGTCCACGGCAAACGTGTTGTTTGTGTTGCCACCTGGGTTGACAAGATGTACAAAAAAGGTACGTATTAATGTACAGTATGGTCTTAGGGAGGCATTAGTACAATGCATAGTTGATAAAATGGTTGTAACACACCTATGGGGAAAGTACAAAATCAACAGTTAGTAGAAACTCATCAATCAGTGACATGTTTTGAAAAGCAGAAAACATGTACCCCCAAATTTTCGATGTTTACTGTTCATCTTGATTACGAGAACACGAGGCTAGGTCGAGACATGAGTAGATCTTCTGGCCTCCCCCGCCTCCTTGCGGAGTAGGGGTAGACAGGACTCGGGCAGCTCACAACCTTAGTATGGGATCTTCGTATGCAGAATTTCTGTACATGTCTCGACCTAGTATCGTGTTCTCGCGAGCCTATGTCGAGATCAAGGTGTAAAATAGGCAGCGAAACATTTGGAAGTACGTGTTTCTCCCTTTGAAAACAAGTCACTGATTGATGAATTTCTAGTTACTTTTAGTCTTACGTGACTTATGAACATAGTAAAATTAGTTGTAACATACCTACAATACAGTAGTCTACACCTGTTTCACCGTCCCTTCTGACTGTCCCAACATTGGTGCCAGGAGAGGAGTTCTCAGTCACATCCAGGTTAAAGACTCGGTTGTTACTCTCCTAAGAAGAAATAAGCAACACATATGCAACACAGTGTTATACAAAACAATCCCTTCTTATCGTTGACGGCCATTGAAGAGAGAAACAATAATTATGGGACTATGATAATTGTTACTACTAACTGTTACGATTTGCATACCAGTAAACAGCAATAAGTAAACAAAAACAATAAAGAAACAAAAATAACTCTACAGATGAGGAGACTGATATTTACTAACGTACTTGAGCGTCTTTAATGTTGATAACGACAGGTACAGACGTCTGTTGAGGGGTTCCACCATCAGGTAGAAACTCAGTCGCCTGAACCTAATAAAAAGAATGTAAATAAATGTTAGCAATCGACACTATGGTACATTAAACTAGTTGCAATATTGGTTGATATATCGATATTAAAAGACAGGTTCATAAAGATATATGTATAGATACAGTCAGATAAATACACATACATTTCTGTGGATAGATACCCCAATATAGATTAAAGGTAAAGTAGGTATTTGGATAGGTTGATACATGTTTAGATATATAGCAACAGAAACATTAGAAGTTAAGGTGTTATGATAGATGTATATGTAGATAAATAGTGAAAGGATCATACTCTAACTGCAATTTGATGATTCGGCGTTGTCTCAAAATCCAACTTGGATGGATCGTTGACTAGCAGGTTGACGATGGCCTGTCCTCTAAGTACAACTTTGGGTTCGATGTCGAAGACATTGTTTGGATCATTGATGACACTCAGGTTAAACAAGTTGTTGGGCAGCTGTTCAAAACGGAAGGCTAATGGTCATAAACCAACAATACTCATATATCACAAACAATTAATGAATGAATCTTCATTGCATCCTGTCCAGATAGACTATAATGCACATGTGGCCATATGTTGCAATTGTCTAGGGCATGTAAGACATGTAGTACAGAACACTAACAATACTACATTCTAACCCTAAATACTAAAATTCTTAAAATTCCATTAAGATAACAATGCATTATTGTTCATCTACTAATAACCGTTGTTTCTTCTCTCTTTTTGAAACTCATAGAAAAATACCTAGAAAGCAAAGGCAATAATTTGTCTCATCTAGATAGTCATTGAGGGAAATTTATGGGACTTACTGAGTCCTTGTCAGATACTGTCATTCTTAAACGGGGAAGTGGTGTGTCCACGGCAGGGTTCTCGGTGATTTCCACATTGTAACCTGCTTGGTTGAACTCGGGAAGGTTGTCGTTGGCGTCCGTAACACGGACAACGACGACGACTTCACTGGATTGCTCCGGGCTCGAAACCGTTCCATCTGGTTTGTACTCAGTTCCCTGTATAATAATTACCGTGTCAATGATTGTCACATGTGCACGACGTTGGAATGACAATGGCTCAACCATCTTCACTTCCTAATTCTACGACAACAAAAGGTCACACGCAGTACCAAATGTGGTACTAGATGGTACAAGCTTAGTCTTTACCAGGCTCCTTTGCATTTGCAGGCTGAATAAATAGTAGATTAAAATAACATAGCTGACCAGGGGAGTTGGAAGGCAAACTGGACCCTCTATGGCCCGCCAACTCCCATGACCAGCTACACTTTAGGCCGATTTCTCAGACTTTATAGGAGTTTTGGAGAAGACTAGCACAAGCATACACCTTACAATACCAAGCGTGGGGAGCAGCTGTACGTACCTTTATTCGCAGAAGGAAGACTCCAGGTGTGGTGATGGAGAATATGCCAGGAGCCTCCCTGTCCAGGTCTTGGTTCAGCGTCAGCCTTCCGTTGGTGCTACCGATGTTGAAATAGTTTGAGGGATCTGCAAAAACGTTTGATAAATTGATTGATTGATTGATTGATTGATTGAACATTGCAACAGTACAATACACGTGGGGCACAGACAGCTGCTGCTGAAGCAAATACAGGACAGACAATACTCATTTTCACTTGAGTTAAATGAGGAAAGTCATGTTCAGTGCCTTTCCCAAGGGCACAAGATCGATGGCATGTCAGGACTCTAGCACTCTGCCGTTGCGCCACACGACCCCACGACCCCATGTTGAATGATGTTTTGAGCTTTACAGATGTAGCAATGCATCAATATAGATTGTTATATTAAGTTGAGTTAGTTTAAGAATTGTCCCGTATCTTGTAAACTGTGTGACATACCTCCTCCAACAAGCTCGTACCGGACGGTATTTGTTTGTGATCTGTCGCCATCTCTACCCTGAAGAGTAAGAACGGTCGCGCCCTGATGGAGAAATGTTAAAACGAAATTAATTAGTCATCCTAAGATCCTACCCGAAAGATCGGTGGTTGAAACCTTGTGAGAGACCTTCAAGTCTTATGAATAACTTACAAATAATCGATTTCAAGCATTAGCAATACCGACATTTCAGTGTGTAACATGTAGCATGATAATGAAAAAATAGTGACATAGGATAAGGTCTTTTGTCAAACATAAGAGAATGGGTTGTCTGCTTCACCTCATGTCTACCAGTAATGACAACACATTGGAAAAACTGTTGAATTCATCTCCAGTTGCTTAAAAAAGGAGGAAAAATATTTACGACCTTCATTAGATAGAATATATTCTCTAGTATAGTCCCTAAGACCTTTACGTTATTCTTTTCTCCTTCTGTCCCAAGTATTATGGTACTTAGTATGTATAGTACTTATACATGTAACATCATACTCCAATGCATGCATCTAGCACCATGGGCACGGACATGCAAATATAGATTCATATATTCTATTGACTCCAGGGAATGGCTGACTAACCGCTCGACTGTTCTGATCTCCTTCCTTGATGGACACGTCATAAGGCTCCCCAAGCCAGATAGGAGGTCTGTTCTGTACATCATCAACTGCCACAAACACGTCCACTGATGTGGACAGGGATGGTGTTCCGCCGTCCTGGAAGCAACGGAAACCTTTACATTTTCTTTGTGATCTTTTGCTTATTCATTCATTCACTTACTAACGCACTCCGTCATTACGTATTATCCAATTATTAATCACTCATTATTACATTAATTATTATTATATTTTTATTGTTTTATCATAATCATCAATGTCATTATTGAATTGTATTATCATTATTGAATTATACATTATATCATAATTATTATATATCATTTATCATTCCATTAATTATAATAACATTACGCATCATCAAATATAGCTTGTTACAGAAAATAACGTGTATTATTTTCACAAGTGTTGCTTTGCATTTGTATATATATTGAACAAAGAAAATGTGACAAAAGTGATGATTGAATGTTTTTTCTTACAGTTGCTTGCACAGTGACAGCATACGCTGTTTCAGTCTCCGATTCAATGTCCGTCTTGTCCTTCAGTGTAATCCATCCACTCACCGAATCGATATCAAAGGAATTCATGTTCTAAGGGAAGATGTGGGTATATATTTTCGTACACTTATCAACTGACCTTCGATTGAAGGCATCAGATAATTCAATGGGATGCTTTTAATATCTGAGATAAATGCACGGATATCTTTAATATATCTATTTAAATGTTGAGACAAGATAATAACATTTTCTGACAGCCAGACTTTTTTGAGTCCTCAGCGTCAGACAGGCGTGGTGGCCAGAAAACTTTAGAGATCAAATGCTGATTGGTGCATCTCAAGGTATTGTCAATACATCTTAGTTATACGTGATTAGTTTATATCTACAACAAATTGGTACATTAAAAGATCGGCCTGGTAAGTTGATTAAACTTATCATCATCGTCCAAGTCATCACTTCACGTTCAACAACTATTATAGGAAGGACAAGAATAAAACTAACCGAAGTTAGATGGAAGTTGATGGCACCATTGGCTCCACTGTCCACGTCAGTTGCCGAAACTTGAAATATGGATGTCCCAATTTCTGCACTCTGTGATGATATGAGAAAGAAATGCAATTTATATGGCAGATGTTTGGCTTTAACTATTGCAAGGGGCCGCTACAGTAGCTATTGACTGATACCAAGTAGCCTGAATTCCGTAACTGTGTGATGGTTCATATAGTGGGAAAAGGAACAAGAAATTTGACAAGTACACTTGGTCTAGTAAATCAGCTGCAGGTAAATTAAATGAAATATGACAGGAACTCACCTCACTGACACTGGTCTCATACGGCGTGTTTTGGAACTGTGGTGAGTTGTCGTTGTAATCAACGATGTTGACGTGAATGTCGTTGTAGGTGATCTTCAATTTAAAACAGAAAAATTCAAGTATATAAAAATGTAACTTAAACCCTGCTTCTTCAGGGAACAAGGTTAGTTTTTTTATGCAGGTCTTCGGGCGGTTGGGAGTTTTGGTATTGTGTTTTGTAGAATTTCTAACGCGTTCTTTTGCCGACCATCCCACAATCAGCCACCCAGAGTTTGTTCTCTTCAACAGGATGTAGATTTTACGTTGTTATTGTAACAAACAATTACCAATATGTATTCAATACAATGAAACATTAGAAAATGAACATAGTCATCCTTATTGACATTTTTGTCTGGCCAAAAATTAAAGTTTTCTTTACCCAGAATCTTCTAAGATATCCAAAATGCATTTTATGGATAGTGAATATACACCAAACATACCTCATGTCCTCCAATGCCGTCACGTATTGTCAGTGAAAACGTGACAATAGGGTTCGTCTGAAAGATAGATATAAGTATACATATGTAGTAAAGACCATGTATACATGTGTATAGACAGCATACACATGTAAAGATCACAAAGACCACTAAGTTTGTGCATAGTTACATATGTAAATCATGAAACATGACTAGAACAAAACATATACAAAGCGGATGTTTCGCTGCAGTACGATACACTACATTTATTGTACTTATTTTTAACACCTACCATCAAACAAGTACATCTACCCACAAACACCCCACAAACAACATTAAAACATGATCTTCTTGGCAAAGATTATAACTATTGCTAACCTCACGATCCAAAATTTTGAGCACCCTGATGTCTCCGAGACTTTCCTGCCTGGAATTTACTCCTGCATCAGTAATGCTGAAGGTGTCGCCGCTGATGAAAAAATTCAAAGCATTTCCGTCTGGATCGCTAGCGCGGACTTGGAAAATGGATGTACCTGAAACATGATTCAAATTGCAAAATGAAGGGGATTGAAAATAACGGTGTTAAATAATTTATGTGGATGTAATCTTTTTATCTTATGGCTGATCTAGAGCTGGCTGGAAGTACCTGACGGAGGGGAGCAAGGGGCCAGTACCTGGCCTGTTCACATAGGCAGGTAGGCAGGCAGATCTAATATGTCATAATTAAAGTAACTTGTACACATTGATAATCGATCAAACTTGATTTTAACACCATTTTAGCTAAAATAGACTTGTGGTTCTACGTATGTCTTCGAATTTAATTGAGATTCTTTCAGAACATTTTTAATTACGAATGGTCGCAAGGTCAGGCTCTGAATATAATTTGTGTAAAATAATTTATCCAATTTACTTCAAGAAATAAACTTGAGTTTATAAATACTAATACGGTTGCCGCCTATGTTAATGATATTGTTAACAAGATATATAAATGCAACACAGATAGAAACGAACATCTTACCAACTGGAGTATTTTCTGAGATCTGTTTGCCGTTCAGTTCTGTTTCAACGTTTAGGAACTCAGGAGGCTGGACACTCACTGCAAAATAATGAAGAGTTCCATGCATCATTGTCTACAGTGAACATTTTTATTAATGATGATTAAAATTGTGGTGTAATTTCATAACATCATAACATAAAATATGAATTCCGTAGTTCAAAGTCCATATTTCATTTTACGTATTTTGTTTCTTATCTTAGAGCTACTCACGCACAGAAAGTATTATTAATGCATTGAATACATTTCAAATATTGATAAGAACTCACCTGTTACACCTATGCATGTGAACAGCACAACAAACCAACGCCCGGCCAACATAACTGCATCTACATGTCGGAATTAAAGTTGTCTGTGAGTTTTATGAATGCTTACTAGGTGTTCAAATGTCCATAGATATACTTTATGTATGTATAAAAACTAGCCATTTCAATTTGAAACTTTGTAGCTCAGTATTGATGTCACCAATGTACAAATAAGTTTTAGTACCAGAGCCTTCCACGTAATGTCTGAAATCGTACCGATAAACTCGCTCTGTATAACCTTCAACTACTTTAGCAAATTTATAGGCTACGATTTTTAATTGAATGAGCTCTATATAACATTGCAAAATAATCATACCGCATTAATGTGTTTTACATCTAATGTTACATGTCACAGAGTTAACATTCTAAGATCTTTAAAATATACTGTTTGCCCCATGAGAAGACCTATTATCTGAAGTAATCACCCGAAAAACCACACAGTATACTGTAAAGTGACGTTTTGTTTACAACAAAAATGTCCATGTACAAACAAAAGTGTAATTTAATTTCTTTATCATTTAGCACCTTATAACGTAAATTAACATTACACGGTATTACTTCTTTATTTTTTGACAACTATTCTTTAATTTTTGCCATAACGTGACTCAGAGCGTTTTTACAGTAACAGTCAGTGCACAAGAATCCGGCACGCCCAAGGCCATGCCGGGCACAAAAACAAGTATTAGCTGAATATTGCAGCGGAAAGGTAAATAGGGGTCACAAAACCCGGGCTTTTCCACTGTGACGTCTGTCACGTCTGTGGTAAGCACCCCATTCCACTTAGACGGCGCTCTCACCGCGCGCTCTCTGCGACCTGAAATTGGCCGGAGCGCGGTGAGAGCCCATAGAGATCGCCAAGGTCGCAATGAGAGCGCGATGAGAGCATCATGAGCGCCGTCACCTTGGCGACTGTTTTAAACCGACAAATGACAACAACGAGCGCCGTGAGAGTGCACAACGGTCTAAACAGCATTTTAATGCAAATATGGCGACCTTGGAGACCTCTCGGCGCTCTCTCGGCGCTCTCTCCGCGCTCTGGCCAAATTTCAGGTCAAAGAGAGAGCGCCGTCAAGAGCGCTGTCAAGTGGAATGGGGGTGTAACGTATTGTCCGACTCTGTGCGATGCTCTTGTACGACGCACTATCTGTAGAAAATGTGCTGGATGACACGAATTGAAAATATTCAAACATTGTCACCACTTGTCTGATTGCAAGAATGAAATTCAGTCAAGCATGCACGATATTTTAGCATTTGTGTGAATGAGCTATTGCTTAACTGCTTTTAAAATGTAGTACTACGCTAGCATAAAGCGGTTCTTTTTGGACCATGTCAGAAGACAATGTTTCCGATACACAATGCAAAGTGTTGCCTTGACACTAAGGTGCGCCTGTAACAATGCCTGAAACCACATGTATACTAGCAACCATAATATGAAAGAGGGTATTATTTCCACTTGAGGAAACATTTAAAAGATCTCATGTATATGTAGTTGCCGCCCAAAATGCTTGTCGCTTATTTTTGCAGCCGATCTTTCAACTGCAGTCTTATATCTAACCCCTTATCGCAATGCAGCAATTAGACACAATTTTGATATGTTATACGCCAGTTATATGTTCTTTTCTAGGAGGTTAAATGTCTATCACAAATGCACGGAAATATATCCCCGGGCAAATTACCTGACAAGGTCTATTAAACTGTGTACAATGGCAAGGTACCCAAGGACATGCCCCCCTCCCACCCTGTCCATTTCTATCGTACACAAGTAACATATCAGCAAGGACAAAGTAAGCCTTTACGTATCGAGCTACATATACACCTTATTATTTCAAGTGTTTTCTTTCTAATAGATTAGCATGTAATGAACAGGTGCCGTTCAAATACCTATTTTTCACCTGCCAAAGTCCTAACCATAGGAAGTGCTCTAGAAATGTACGTATTTGACAAAAACACTGTACATTCTTCAAATTTGGTACGTGGTTATTGATAATACACATATCTAGTTCTGATATCACGGAGGCAACGTGCAAAACAATTAGGTGAAAAGATCCCTCAGGCCAAACAAAAACAACAAAAAACTGTCGTTTGATTCCCACGGTCTTACTCCCTTAGTATACGGATACAAACTTTGGTGTCAAAACACATATCATTTGTAGTTATGCTTCTCATTTGAAAAGTAAAAGAATCTTAGTAAATTCTTACCTCTTCGAAGGAATACAGCGAAAAATACACTTCGTCATCCTCACTGGACGTTGTACAAAATGGCACTAATACTTGTTTCACCACACCCAAATTACGTCCCTCAACAGAGACACCGTAATTTCGGTAATGATGCAACTTTAAAACATCTCATTGAGAACCCTAAGGCCTGTTAGCACCCACGATGCACAACATGCTTTAAAAACCAGTTACTTAAGCTGTAAAACGTCTTGTTTTTACATTTCTGTTTATGTTGGTTAAAACACAGGATTGATTCCCTTATTCAAAGTAAGATAGATATACGGTAGGTTTTGTCTGGTCAAAAAACCGGTCGGACGGTTGATACAAAACGACTCAAATTTACAGGCAGATGTTTGACACAATAGGAGGGCTCTATCTGTCTGTGGGAACATGAACACCTGGCATTTAACCTTTCATCGCCTAAGATAGCGGCATTTACCGGTTGTTTTCTTTGTAGCCACGCCAGTAAAAACTACGAGTTTGTTATTCTACTTCTAGGGCGTTGTACCGATTTCCTTTGTGACTTGGTGGTAGACTTTATGAATGGAATACTTGGGTGTGCCTTTTTAAACCTCTTTACTACATATAGGTTACACCCTTCTTTTACGGCATATCTTAGGCAAGTTTTGCCCGTTCATTATTTTGTTGTATTCAAAACATACCACGAATTTTAGGAATGTATACTAGCATCATAGGGTCGAAAATGAGGTAGCTTAAACGGACTAAAGTATGAAAAAGGGACGCGATGACTTAATAAAACCTCGGAGGCGGCTGGAAGAATAGAAATTGGCCAAATAGAGATATAACATGCCCGGGGAATTGGCCCGCTAGAGAGTCAATTTTGCCGCACCCAAAATGTACTCTCTAGCAAACTGCGGCAAAATATACTCTAGCGGACCATCTCCCCTGGCATGTCATCTGTTTGGCCAATTTCTACTCTTCCAGCTGCCTCCCAAAGCCTGGTAGAGATAAAACCTACAAGAGAGCAGTATCATCTACCTGCAATAGGCTAGGGCTAGGTGGTACTTTTATAGATACAATTCAATATTATCACATAGATAGGTTTTAGGTGAAATAGTAACATAAATGTATTCGCAAACCTTAGACTGAGTGACTGTGTAGTTAGTTTATGAAATTTCTATCTAGCATCTTGTGCGTGCGGACAAAAAATATGCAGAATCTTCTTTAATGTGTTTTACCATAATTTATTATGATCATGTGTCATGCATATTGAAAAAAAAAACATACTGCATCAAAAAGGAAAGAAACGTGCATGGATATCAGCAGCGAGAGATCTTCTTATAATTCATCGTTTGTCAGTTGTAATAAAGGGAAAACAATGTCAACGTTTCATATCTAACATACCGTTTTAAATCACCCGTTATATATTCTAATATATACTACATGTATAAGCAAATAAGGAGTTACTTTGTAATATATAATCTGTATCAGTATTGCTAAAGCTATCAATTAATCATTGTCAAACTATACATGTTTTCTAACTTATAAGTCATAAATTTAAGTAGCAGAAAAAAGGGATATCTCTCTCAGTACTAGTGTATATTTTGCTGGTAGCCTAATTAACAATCGACGTTTTCTTTGGCCAACGTTGACTGAATTTGTTCGTACATCATCTCGATTTGTACTTACTAGTATTTACATTTTGAGTTCAAAATACAAAACAATTTACAAACGTTTACAAATTCATATTCACCATGCTAACTATATTTTTTCATGCATTATTTTGTTAAGATGTTTTTTTAAAAACATCTGAAATGAAATATTTACTAGTATTCAAAGCTTGTTCGAGTTGTCATGAAAATAGTCACCGTCTTCTAAATAGTCTAGTGCTAGAGAGATGCTGAGTTGTGAAGAATGGGTGGCGTTCCAAGATGGCGTTCTCTGTCGGTATATTCGTGTCTCCCTTTGATTCAGAGCCTGCTGTTCCCCTGGTCCTCGTGTTCGTAGTAGGTCCTGTCGTACACAGGCGGGACCAGACGGTGGTCGTCAGGGTCAGGCTGGCTGGTGAATACCTGAGGAATCAGAGACATTCGCATTGGAACTGAAGCTCGAGGGGAGGGGGGTGATTTATGTTCTACCTTTAGCTTATACCTCCATTCTACTTAGACGGCAACATGAGAGCGCGCGATGGCCCCAGCATCAATTTAGATACAAAACAAGGCGACCACAGTGTAACAACCTACAAGTCATCTTTATTCGTCATGAAAACAGCAATAAATCAGTGGAACAGCAGTTGTCCTCCTGCCCTGTTTCTTTCCTTTCATTATATATTCAAATCTTGAAATTTGCGGCACTGTCGTGACTCTTAAGTCACAGTTACAGGAAGCGGAATTACTTGTTTTTTTTCTGGGAAACAGGCTAAAATCAATGCGCGCGTGGACGTTATCCATACATATTACTTGGTGCGACCAGTCATGATAGAAACCGCACGTACCGTGGTGGACACCACCTCTCCATCATCGGCGCCCGTGGTGTACCCGGACGTCCCGCGGGCATCGCTGGTGAACACGGTGGTGTGAGAGGGTTCCTCCGGGGACGGAGCGCGCTTGGTCTGGCTCTGTACACAAAGCATGTACAAGAAATACATTATATGCACTCAGGCACTGTAGAAAAGTTCATATTCCTAACGCAACTAGACAATCCATCTATAAAACATATCTGTTTTTGTTTTATTTCTACAATAGCTAAAAAGCGAGAAGTTGAATTTCTATTTGTATCTGTTCATTTTGTTTTGTTGTCATTGTCATTGTCATTGATATTGTCATTGTTGTGACCTGTACTTAGCCAAGTGTGGCAAAAAAGTGCAATAAAGGTCATCATTCATTTATTAAATATTTTAAAAACTAAGTTTGATTCAGGGGTAGATTAGAAGTAGTTGTAATGAAATCTTTCCACTTAACCTCTCCTTGGAAAATATGATATTCACAGTTTGTGATTTAGCCGTCTAAGGACACCTTGCGGATTTGTTAACTTTATGTGTATTGTGTTCATCTCACCTCAGTAGTAGTGAAAGCAGGGTTGAAGTAACCGTCATCCCGACGTGTCTCCTGTGTGGTGACGTATTCACCATAGTTCATGGCCGGTAGGGGGCGCTTTATCGGGATGGGGGCGACTACCGGCTCGTAGGCGTTAGGTCTCGCCTTGTAGTCGCTGCCGAAGTCCATGATGGCGAGCTGTGTCTCCTCTTCCCTACAAAACAAGATTTAGAAAGGCCACATTTGTTAAAAATAATGGTGGGTGTGGGAGGGGGGTTAAGACAACATGTCAATGTAGTACAAGTTGTGACAGGTTGCATCAGATGCAATTGTTGAGCATTGCAAATTTTATGAATTCTTTAGAATATTTCTCCTATACACGACAAGACGGATATCTAGTACTATACTCACTTGTCAGTGAAGACTGGATTCATGTTGATCTCTCTGAGTATGAAAAGAAATAAATATCTTCAACATCGTATTGGTATTTTATAGAATCATTCACGCCAAGAAAAGCTAAAATTGCACTTCTAGTCTTTAACACGTAAATCACTTACGGTGCAGGCTCTGGGATTGGTTCTACCAGTAGTTTGCCTGAAACACAATACAGCGTGTAATGTATCGTCAACCGAATGCACATTACCTAATAGATTTGCACTAAGCATCAGAGCAATTTAATTCTAAATCAAAATGTTAAATTTTTACTCACTTTGCATCTTCTTCTTGTACCTGCAAAATATTAAAAGAATCACAAAAGCAGAATATTAGACATAAAAACAGCGTGCCCCTCACACATGATCGATCAAAACCATCAATAAAGAATTACTGCTAATAGTTCTTCTCCATTACAGAAAAACAACGTTTTAACGGTTCATCTTTTTAAAATTACACTACAACCTGCTCATTAGCAGATGAAAACGTAAATAAGCGTATCCAAAACGACATTAAAAGCGTAGCCTTTCTGTACCAGTATCGGCAGTAACACAGCAGACAGAGCAGCAGTAGTAGCCCCAGCAGCAGCAGCGCGGCCAGGGCGATCAGGAACGCCTCCCAGTTACTGAACCCGGCGTAGTCACTCTTCACTTGGGCAGACTGCACAAACAGAAGAACGTGTGGAAATTATGACTTTAAAAAATCAAATTCAAGTCAATACTTGATTTTTGACAGGAACAATGCTTACAAACTGCAACCTATTCTTGGCAGGGAAAGCCACCTGTCACCAAAAAAATCAGGACCATAGTATATATATATATTTAGGACCAAAGATACAAAAACCAAAAGCTCTGCTGCAGTATCAAGGTCAGCCACCATGAGGCCCATATTAAATTATTACTGCCATAATATCATAATCACACCTATGTAGCAGTTATCACAATTTTATGCTTTTATAATTATGATTGTTATAAGCATACGTATTTCACGATATATGAAAAAACTCACCCTTGCACCGACAATTTGGCAGTCAGCCAGCAGGCGATCTCGATCCACACCTTCAATAACTCTACAACAGATTAACACATTGCATTGATACGTGCTCCTTTCATCCACAAGCTGATTTGCCTTTGTGGATCATGGCACAAGAAGATTCAACAATATACCAAAAATGATAAAGTTCTTAATATCAATGTGTAAGTGTTCTTTAACAATAATATTTCCAATTGAATCAAAAAAGCTTATTCTGCTTAATATACACGTACCTTAGTCCTTCAGTGTCGGTGAGAACCAAATCTGTAGTCTTGTCGATGAGATAGTAGAGTACTTGAGACCTGTTGGACATTTAGCTGTTAGCTTTCTAGTATATACTCATTTGCACCTGTCAGTAAGTAAAGTGAGAAGTGCCTTTCCCAAGGGCACGAGATCGGTGGCATGGCAGGAATCGAACTCGGGACCTCTTGGTTCTGTTGTTACGCCACTCGACCCCACGGTCATTTGGCTTAACGAACAATAAGCCGTGCCCTTTCAAGGTCTGTAAAATATTCATAAAATATGCATGTATAAAAAAATACTCACTGTTGCCTGTTTATGTTTCCCTGGCTGTCTGTGTTATACTGCAGGCCCTCGTAGATAACCCTGTAACCGGTTTGGTCTTCCAGGCGTCTGAAACAATAAAGCGAATTCACAAAACAACATCCCTGTTCTGTTGCATAGTTATACATCATTGAATAACCATGGTTGACTTGCATATCTACTACATATAGTAGTATATATTTGATCAGTCATAAATAATCAGACAATTTCTCTGTTAATGCCGTTGGTTGCAGCAAAATGAACAATACAATGTAAATTTTTAAAGAAAGGGTGATTGTTGTAAACTTACTGTAAACATTCTTCTATGTTCGGTCTTACGCTTTCCGGAGGTGCATCCAGCACAGTACTAAGTCCGAAGCGTTGAGGTATGGTGTGTATCTATGAAAAAGGGAAGGGCAAAATGATATGTCATACAATAGTACTCAACAAAGATTAGATACGTACAACGTACGTGATCAAAGTATACTTTGAATTCAAAAAGGGAGAAAATCCATGAATGGAAAGTTTCTGTAGGGAATATTTACCCTGACTTCAGTGTCGTCAAACCTGCCTCCGCCGTCCTCCGCCCTGACGTTCACAGTGAAGTACCCGTTCTGGTAGTCGTCATAGAGTCTGTTGGTCAGGATCTGTCCCGTCTGGGAGTCTACTTGGAACGCGTCATCTACCTAACGTGTTAGAAAAAAAGCAAATAACATATGACATGTGAATTGGGTATTAAAGCGAATCAAGAACGAGTTCTAAATGCTCGTGCACATACAATCTTTTGACCCGGGCCCTTCACAATGTAGCGATTCGGTTGAATAGATGTACACTGTGTTACCTGTGAACTGGGCGAACCAGTTATGTCGTCCCTATTGGCGGTGAAGAGTACAGAAGTGATACTGTAGGTGATGTCACTGTTGGTTCCAGCATCTTGATCTGTGGCCTAGAATGTTAATAAAGAGGGAGTTTTTCATCATCACCATCATCTTCGTAGAAATTTCAAAGAAAGAAAACATATTTATAAAATGATGAGCAATTGATTTACAGATTACATTTGTACTATATCTGTGAAACCAATCTACCAATTAAATTGCGTACCTGAACGCGTGCCACAGGTGTGTTAAAGTTGGCGGACGCTGGTACACCTAGAAGTAACAACAGAACGTATTTTAGATACAACATGTATAGCAGAACGTATTTGAGAGGCAACAACAGAACGTACTTTATAATCGTACACACATGAAACCAAAAAGCCGAAAATTTATGCTAAACATGAAAAAATGGTTTTCTTTGAAGTTGTCTCACCTGCGTAATATACTTTGGTCGAAAACCTGGGAGCGTTGTCATTCTGGTCATTTATGGTGATGAGTGCCTTACTCAGGGTGTTGTCATTCGGGTCGTACGCTGTAGGTCCAGTGGGACAAGCCGTGTTCTGGAAAATAGATTATGTAAATATTATGTCTAGACAAAATGTCACAAGTGAAAATGATTTCTATCTTTCGCTGATCATGTACGAACGAATGATAAGAACGCCTACATACCGATGATAACTTCTGGATGACCAGGTCATACACGGCCTGTAGCTCCCGATCCAGTGGCAGCCGGTTGACAGTCACAACGCCGGTGGTTTTGTCTACGGCAAAGGTTCCGTTGGTATTGCCTCCTAAACAACAAAAAGGGAGAAATATCTTGATGTTTACCATTTAGACTTAAAGCAAAAACCTTGATGCTCTAATCTCACATTTGACACACAAGTATAGTTTCAAGATATAGGGTCTTTATTGTACACAACCAAAACTTTCTCACCTTTCGTTACGTTTTGGTGTCTATCAGACACGTTCCTCAGAGCTTCTGACTGGTGTTCTGCTTCTCGCCGCTATATGTAGCCGTAAGCAAGGTGATAGAGCTGGAGGTTTTGGATGTGTGTAAGAAAACCCATGTATGCTTTACTCTAGCAACCTGATGGAAATATTTTTGGAAGTATAGCTACAGTATACATACCCACAAGGCAGTAGAAGATTCCACTTTCACTGGGTCTCTTGGCTGTTCCTACGTTCGTCCCAACCGGTGCGTTTTCTGTCACATCTAGGTTGAACACACGACCTTCGGTTTCCTGAAAAATGAGTACATATAGGTCGTGCACATCACTACAAACCATAACAAGATGTGAAGTCTATGTTTAAAGTTAAAACTTTAGATCCAACACAAAGAAGCTCTCTCACCTACAGCTTTCGACCAGTCACTAGTGTAGTCTTCCTCAGTAGACTGACCCAGTGAAGCTTATCACATGGCTTCTTTGAAGTGTGACGTCAACACTGGGTCAAAGCTGTGAGAACTACTTCTGTTGGATCTAAAGTTTTAACTCAAAACATGTAACTACCAACACAGATGAGCTTTAATCCTTTTCAATTAAGCTACCTCTGATCCTTTTGTACGGCTAACAATAATATAATGATAATGCTTGAACAAGTGTTACCGGAGCGTCCTTAATGTTGACCCTGACTGTTACAGCGGACCGCCTTGGAGATCCTCCGTCGGCAAGATGCTCCGTTGCTTGAACCTGCCAAGAAAAATTTACAAAAATCATTGGTCTTAAATGAATATTTGTATCTCTATATCTCAGTCATCTTTAAGGATTTGATATAAAGCTTTATGTAGTAAATTTTTGTGGAAAATTTGTTGTTTTTTGTTGTTATCATATTCTTAAAAATACAATCTAAACAAAACAAATCTTACCCTAATGGGAATTTGATGACTTGGGGCGGTTGTTTCGAAGTCTACCCCGGACGGGTCCATGACCAGAATGTTGACAATAGCCTGTCCTCCGACAACGTTCTTCGGCTCGATGTCGAATATTGAATTTGGATCATCCAGGAGCGTCAGGTTGAAAAGGTTGTTGGGTGTCTGTAAACAAAGTAAAGATATGGTCTATGATACTAAAATCATAAGAAAATTAGTCCTTTAAATTACAACGACAATGTAGGAATAATTTGCTTCAAGTGCACTGAATAAAATAGAAGTGTAATTTCTTAATTTTTTTTCAACATTTCATAGAAAACATTATATTAAAAAGTAATTTATGCATTAACTGACAACAGACATACTCATTTTCACGTAAGTAAAGTGAGAAAATTCGTGCAAAGTGCACGTGCCTTTCCCAAGAGCACAAAATCGGTGGCATGACAGGATTCAACTCGGGACCTATAGCTATTGGTTCCGAGTTGAATGCTCTGTCGCTGCGCCACCCGACTCCACTATAAGAGTGTATTAATTTTAAATAGGAGTGGTCCTAACGTACCGCGTCCCTATCAGACACCGTGAGCCTCAGACGTGGCAGCGGCGTGTAGACTTCAGGGTGTTCGGTGATCTCCACTGTTCTCTCGGTAACCTCGTTGTCGTAGGTTTGATCGTAGAACCTCGGCAGGTTGTCGTTGGCGTCGATGACGAGGACGGCGACGTTCACCTCGGAGAATTGCAGCGGGTTGGTGTCCGTACGGTCAGTCCTCACCTCGATGGCCTAGATTTTTTAGTAACCAATGACAAAATGATTAGTTAATAGCGTTCTTACGTCTCGAAAATATTATTTTATCAGATACAACCAAAAAAATTTTAAATGGCCTTTGCATTAAACGTCTCTTCTCTTGACAATACGGATACAATTCGTGATGTTATTGTTAATGTTAGAGAATAATTGCCATTGTAACATTATCATATCTAGTATGGTAAAATAGCATCTGGACAGTTTGGCAAACATAGTAGTAAGTTATATAATTGTAATAGTATATGTCATTAAATATACGATGCAGGCTAGGCAGGCAGGGTCTGTATATGAACACAATCACTTATCCTTACCCGGATTCTTAGAAGGAATAACCCTGGAGATTCAACTCGGAAGATGTTCTCTGCTTCCCTGTCAAGGTTCTTCCTAAGCGTTATCCTCCCTGTGTCTGACTGGATGTCGAAGTAGTCGAAAGGATCTGGCAAGTAAAAACACAATCAGTATAGGCTATACATTTTCTGAACCCTGTCAGTACTCCTGGAAAATGCAAGCTAAAAATGTTTAGGTTTATAGGGAAGTTTTTCATCTATTTAATCTAAAGTAACCCCTAACGGAAATGTTTTTAAGTACTAGAGTGCAATGTATGTATTCAGTACGACACAGCGACATACCTCCATTCACAAGCTCATAACGAATCCCGTTTTGCCTTGATCGGTCTCCATCCATGGCTTCAACAGTGAAAATAGTTGCACCCTGGGGAAAAATAAGTTTGAAGTATCAGCACAAAATTTAAGTTCCAACATTGCAATTATTGCATATTGCAGTTGTGACATAATACTTGAAATGTTGTTTATAATTTGTTTAGAAGGTACTTGCCTGTAGGCTTCCTGGCGTGCCTTCTGTGATGGACACCTCGTACGGTTCATTGACCCACACAGGACTCTTGTTCTGCTCATCTATGATTTGCACAAACACGTCCACAGATGTTGCCAGGGGTTGGCTGCCACCATCCTAAAAATAGCATCCATAGTTTTTAAAACCGATTTGGGGGTATTTCTCCTGCAACGCATCACACCACAGCAAAATGCAACGAATGCACCGAAGGGCAAAAAAGGTCAAGGGTTAGGACATCAAATTATTGGAAAATGTTGTGTAAAAAATGCCATTAGGACTTGACTTGACAAGAGTTAAATCATCAATATTTTCACTGTGATTAAAAAAATAGTATATCTACCTTTTATTCATATGGCTTACTTTAAAAGGTTAGGAAAAAAACAGGTTTCAAACTTACCACTGCCTGGACGGTGACTGCATACGCGGTCTGTGTTTCAGATTCGATTGCTGTTCTGTCTCTAAGACTCAGTATACCATCCACCTGGCCGATCTCAAATGTGTCGGTGTGCTAAAAATTAAAGGGGCGATAAAACAAAACTTAAAGGCAAGAATATTTGTGTCAATCAGAAGAAATAAAGTGCAGAAATTCATACATAGAAAATAATCGAATTCATTTTTGGAACATGGCAACATTCCTGTGTGTAAATTTTCCATAGTGTAAATTTTCAAAGAATGGCATCACATACCGAAGTCAGTTGGTAGTTAACAGCGCCGTTCTGCCCACTGTCTATGTCGGTTGCTCTCACAGTAATGATGGAGGTACCAATTGCCGCTGACTGTAGATAAAAACATTTAATAATATCCATATTAACCCAAATAGCTATAGTTATTTTCATCTATAAATTGTTGTAAGGTAAAAAAAAAAAAACACTGTGGTATGATTTGTTTTACGGACCAAAAAAAAAAAAACAGACAAAATATCTTACCTCACTCAATGTAGCTTCATATGGCGTCCCTTGGAATTGCGGCGAGTTGTCATTGTAGTCAATGACATTGATGAGAATATCAGAGTGCGTGATCTGGAAGTAGAAAAAAATCATAAATGTAAAAGATGTATATATATATCTTACATGTAATGAGACGTCACTGCTATTCATTATAACACAAACCTTACGTGTATATTTGCAAAGTTGCTATCAATATTAAAGACAGAAACTGGAAAATTACCCACCGTGTGTCCCCCGAGACCGTCCGTTATAGACACGTCAAACCTGACGACTGGATTCGTCTGGAGAAAGAAGATAATATAACATTAATACGAAGCATCGTCGTGCACGAGTCCACTCAACGTAAAAAAAAACTGTCGCCTTGGTACAAGATGAACAACTAGTGCAACGTTTAAGTAGATGGGAGAAGCCAAAACTTACACAATACTAGACGTAATAAAAATGTAACTGTAGTGTTCATTTGAACTGTGGTTTTACGATAGCGTCGATCCGTACCTGACCTCACTTTGAAGCTGTTGTAATTAGACCTTAGCTAGACTTCAATAAAATACGAAAGGTTACATTTTATCCGTCGTTAGTTGTACACATAGATATAATAAAAATGCGTCATATTTGTTAATTATTTGAAGACCAACGGCTAATTATTGAAGCGATAGCCCGACCTCGCGGTCCAGTATCTTGGCTACTTCCAGGTCCCCCAGTGTCTCTCCCCGTGCGTTGACTCCTGCAGGGACGATTCTGAAGGCGTCACCGCTGATGGAGAAGTCCAGGGCGTTGCCGTCAGTATCCAACGCACGGATCTGGAAAATGGACGCACCTACGGCAAACAAACAAACAAGATCGAAAGGTGTACAAGGAATACATAAATACAAAAGAAATATATTTTATACCAGAAAACTTTATGTACTATTAACACCATAAATATGATCACAATTTTTACAATTTATAGACATAAATCATAATTGTTCAACACAAATATGCATGTATTAAAAACTTGTTATATTAAACATGACTCATGCATATATTTGACCCAGCACCATAGGGTCCGACTAAACATTAATATAAAATACCAAACAGTCATTTATTCTATTTTAAACACAATACATATATGACAAGTTTACTACATCTGTTTAAGTAAGTTATCTACAAAAATTGCACATGTGAATGTCAAGATTGTTATAAGATACGTATTTCCTTACCAACAGGGGTGTTCTCGGAAACTAGCATGTTGTTCAGGTCTGCTATGTTGATAAAATCAGGTGCATTAACAGCCACTGGAAAAAATTAGATATGTCAAAATATTTTGGTAAATGCACTTTTGCAATGCATGTAGTAAAGCAGGTAAGCAAAAGACGAAGAAACATATTTAACTACTGTCTCAAGTTTTAATGTTATGAATAAAAGACCTTTATTGTACATTCATGCTTTTAGAAGCTTCAAGTACAGGTCATAAATAAACAGGAATAAAGAGCACAGCAATAACTTACTTAAACCATACATACTAATGTGATGAACTATTTACAGGTTTAACACCTTCTAGCTTCTTAAGGCAATTGTAGATGTACAAATATATGGAGCTTCTGATACATGGTTTGTCATGTTTCATAAGGAATACAATTTTACATATAGATACTTACTTGTGACGCCTATGCCAGCCAGTAGGAGAAAAATACATTTCTCTCCCGTCATGACCGCAGCTATGAGCTATAACCTGTTGATAGAATTTTTCGGTAAGTTGTGACATATTTTTCCATAATATTTTCATACACGTTGATATGATAGCTAAGCTATTATAACAGCAGAAGAGCCGCGATATTTCGTATATGAATATTGTGTCATATATATCGGTATACATATAGCAATACTAACCATTAACGATATGATTTTCGCTGTACCCGAGGTGCCAGGAAAGACATTAAAGGGCACTGGGCGTGGTTTGATACTCACTTATCTTAACATAGTCTTCCTCCTAATAAATAATAAACTTGAGATCCACCCTCAAGCTAAAAACATGGAATATATTTTTTCTCTGTTGCGACTATATTGCCTTTTCTTGTACCTGATAATTTATTAATGGGTGGTGACAAATTGGAGCGAAACAACCAACAGTATTGCTTCTATACTCTCACGCAAGTGTAGGTACATGGACAGGCATTCGACACGTGACCTAATGTTGTGGAATGTACAGATGTTTCAACTTAAACCCTGATATCATGACGCATTGAATACAGAAGTATAGCAAAACCGATTTAAATTGAATAGTACAAATTATATTTATGTATAGTTATCATGACCACTATCTTCAGATTTTAGTGTTTGTGTACATATGATATTATTTCTGTTTAAAAAAACAATACCTTCCAGTTTTAGTCTTTGTCTACATATTATTTCTGTCTAAAGGAAACGATAGATTGGATAAATACTAGTAAATCCTTTGAAATTTTAAAAACCATATTTTCAAACAAAGGCAAACCACGATTTTAGAGCATTAAAAACTCCTTCACGCCCCAAAGAAGACCGTGTATAATTCCATTCTATTCAGACCCTTGTCAATGTCCTGTCGGTATGGCTTGATTTACACGTCCTGCACAGTGGGGATTTAATTTACTCTCTTTTGTCATCATCGCTTTGAAAGAAAAACTCGGCCTGTGCGAACCCGTAGGAAAGCCTGAAACGCCTTTGTTGCTACGTGGTGGCATCACACCATGACCTACTCAAACAATATGGTACCATTTCTAAGATATCCGTTACATTTACAAAACTGGCGACTGCTAAAAAGTCCCCCCCCTACTCTGTTAGAAAACAGTTAAGAGACGTGACAAGACTGAGTGTTACACTTTGCGTCTTCACATTTTCTCGCGCTCGGGTGAAAGTGCCATCGTGTTTTCTCAAGTCGGCCTCTTTGCCTTTCGACACGCGGACGAAAACAGTTTTTGTTAGGAGTGTCAAAGACTTAGGCTTAGCTTACGTAGCTTAGATTTAGAGACTGAGGCTTAAGAGGTTCTCAAAATGGTGTGTTTCAAAACCGTTAGCTGATAGCTAGGTTAACACAAGACATAATCTCTCACTATTCAAAGGCTAACACCAATCGCAATTGCAAGCGATTTTTCACCTTTCAAGAGATATATTGTCGAACAATATATTGAAATATCATGTCTATAATATTACGTGGACCCTGAATGTTTACTGTTTGAATCGTTCAATGCCCAATTTCTATTGCTGACATTAGTCGAAAACATGTATGAAATATAACACATTTTTAACCAAAGGATGATACAATATCACCACTGCGAAACGTAAAAGCAACAGTGATATATAAATTTGAAGCTGTACATAATGTCATAATTTGGTGCAGTTTGGGAAGTTGAAAGAGGAATACCGTTACATGGTTGTAAACAATCAGATGTAATATCTGTCAACTTCAACATCTGACACGCAGACCCAGTCCAGGAAACAGGCAAAACGTAAAAAAAACGTGTACCATCAAGAACAGATACAACTGTGAAGTATTCGTGATGTTTGAAGACGCAAATACTGTGTACACAGTGACTAAAAGAGCCTATTTCCATAGTGCATATGTATCACTGACTGTGTAGCATTCTCACGACCCCACCACTAACCCATTAGGCCCAAAAAGTACATAATGATGATCTGCCCTCTTGTCAAAGCAAAGGGCTTCGCACAAACATAGAAATACTTGAGTAAACCTACCTGTGATGTGAAGTTAAGAAGGAGGTAACGCTTCAGCCGACCTCTACAAAGCTTGGTGGGATGGCACAGTGGTTTTTCACCACACCCTTAAGGCGGCCTCCAAACGACCAACCGTAATTTTCATAATATATGCCTCGTTTGAAAATCAAATTTGAAACTTTTCACAGCACGTGTATTTTTTTCCTTTCCAGCGTTTGAGCTAATAAAATACTCACACATCGATCTTGTTTTAAAACAATTTACAGAGCGGTCCTGTGTAAATAGTGAGCTTTTTTGGAGTTCAAAAACAAAGTAGGTATACAGTACGTTGGAGGACAAAGAACTCGGCCCGAGCCTTTAGATAGAAGCGTCTATTATATCCAAATAATACCCGCCCAACAGTTGGCACAATGGGGTACTTTAGGAGACTGGGGGAAATGAATAGGGTGGGTGAGAGTGCGTATTAAATATTCATGCCAACGCAGAGTCATACGTTTGGAATTTCGTGTCCATTTCCTTGTGTATATTACAGAAAATATATAGAATAATGCTTCCTTTAAATGTGTCGATGCTTGCAGTGGTAAATGTTACATTTTTTTCATTTTATATTTCTGTATCCTGGCATTGTAAGTATAAAGGCGAAAAAAAGGATTTTTTTCATTTCAGATTCTGAAAATATTATGTGTACATTTGTCAGCATTTTTTCCGTGAAATTCGTATGATGATGTACATAATATGTTGATGCAACCGACTATATGACCCTCTGAATAATTTAAAAGTGGCATTTAGTCTAGTGTTGCGTGTTAAGCCAAACCTTTGGAAGGGCTGGCTATTGGATTCAATGTTATCACGAATGTAGCATATTAAGTACTACTACTGGGCCCTATTATTTAAAAGCTTGGACCTAAACTGTGCCGTCTTGTTATAGGAATAAAGCAGGTATACATGGCCTTGTATGTTAAAAACAATGCGAATGTTCAGTTCTGTATTCTTTCAATTTTCACAGTGATTGATATTTTTATCAAGATTCCTACATTCATAATTTTTCTGATAAATTTTAGAAATAGATCTGAACGCAAGTACCATTAGTTTCATGTTAAACTTCAACATTAAAATTCCACTCCTTAGTTTGTCAATAAAATTGTTTTGACGCCTGCTATCTATCAAATGATGACACCTACAGGTGTGGCAAATATCTTTTGTTAGGCGCGTGTATATTGGTTCTCATTACAACATGGTAAAATGGTTATCATTGTTGTCTCTTTCAACTCATGAGTGTCCCTATTTTTCATGTAAAACCAACTGTATTCATAGCACCTATGTATTGGGCATGGTCAATTGACTGTCTTCTTTCCTTCGGGAAACGCATATTTGAGCAACAAATAGTAAAGATGTATAGATGAGTATTTCAACTTAATGGTACCATGGGGAATACTTTCACGCCAACACCTGTCTACGGGCAATTCCTACTCAAGTTGCTAGGTAGTATTTCTATACTTTCATATACAAACAATGGCATATACAAATCAATGCCCTCGAAACAACCGTTATGTTTTGGTAAACCAGTTAGAGGCGCATTTTTCTTGCTAAGCTTATAAGGCTGTAGTCTCGAATAAATTCAAACACAAACGACGGTCAAATAGCAACATTTTTAATTCTTGGGTTACTGGTGTCTAGCACATCGGTATCACGCACCACAGCAGTGTCAATATATAATTCCACCATAATTTTGATCTACATTGTAGGGATACATGTGAAAATACATATCAATCTTTATTTATAGTTTTGATATAAACTAAACATATTTTGTATGTACATTTCGGTGCAACATTTCTGGAAATAAAGCTTTAACAATTTGGTATAACGGAAATTATCTTCTCTGCCAAAGTTAAAGGCTAAAATCTAATTTAAAAATAGCTCATTGTCGACCTGTATGTTTGGTTGTCATCGGACACAGATTTTGGCAGATTCTAGCATTTAGACTCTGGCATGTTGTTGAGTATGTCCACGTATTTGTCGACTGTGGCCGATACTTTGATTTGTTCCAGTAGCCTGGCGAGATGTTTAAAGCTGGGGCGTCTGTTCGGGTCCTTGCTCCAACAGGACAGCATGGTCTTGTAGCTGCAAATTGAGACTTATGTCAAAATCAAAAGTGATTACTTACAATTTTCTGAGATTGAGCTACTCTAAAAGAGACTATTTAGAATGGGATGATTATACGTAGGACGCCGGCAGAACGTACTGCACCTGCGCGCGAAACCAGTAATGTATTGTACGGAGCACTTCGGCAGAATGTCTCATATAAGGTCGTATTCAAGCATATAAATTAACATTCCGTCTGTAGTTGTTATGTCAGAAAAAAAATGTCGTCTGCAACAGGCAGAATTCAGATGAAACGTTGACCAAAAATCCAACGAAAACCGTAAAATAAATGGGGATTTCGCGCAGGCGCAGTATGTTCTGCCAACGTGCTATATTATACATTAAGTTAAATGAGACAATTTTATATGGTGGGATAAAATTATGGTATATAAGACGACATTAAAAATTATTACGTATATCATAAAGTATAGTTTGATATTAATAAAAAAACGCAGCCTACACTCGCGTGGGACACTCCTCCGGTTTGCGCAGGCGCCGATCACTCAGGAGGTAGTCCGCCATGTCATAGATGTCTACATCCGGGTACGGAGGGACTCCGCGCGTCATCAGTTCCCATAGCAACACGCCAAACGACCACTGGGTAACAGGAAAGACAAAAAAAAAATATTAAACCTTATCCTGCTAGCATTTTTTACACAATATGTTTAAATAATCTTATGTCTTAATCAGGTCCTTGCTTTTTTTGCCCTGCAGTGGCATAGTTACTCCCGCATCCGTTGCGTTTCACTGCGGTGTGATGTGTTGCACGAGAAATACCGCTAAATCGTACACATACAGGGTGCTATATGGGCGGTACTGTATGTTCAACCCACATATATATGTGCTCCGCAGGAGAATTAATACAAAATGCCATTTTTTAAAGAAAGTAATAACCTAGACAAGTAAATGTTTGTAAACTTTCAGTTACTGTAAAGAAATGGTGAGAGAGAAAGAGAGGGAGAGAAAGAGAGAGAGTGAGTGAGTGAGAGAGTGAGAGCGAGAGAAAGAGGGAAACATACCACGTCCGTTTTGGTATTAAAGACATTGTGAGTGAGGCTCTCTATTGCCATCCACTTGACGGGCAGTGCCGGCCCGCCCTCACGGCTGGTGTAGTAGTCATGCTCGTAGATATCCCTGGATAAGCCGAAGTCACCGATTTTCACAATCCTGTACTCATCAATCCTAGTTTGTTGTTGAAAGTTTAAAGAAGAAGAACTTTATTGCATGACAATTGCACATGGACCAATGTATGGCAACAACTGTTGAACAAGTACAAAGTATAAGATAAAACCTAATATACAATAAAACCTGCCTGCCTGCCTGTCTATATGCATAGGCTAGGTAAAAAATATAACCTAAAAATAAAACCTAATGAATCCTAATTACTCAAACAACAAGAGCTAGCACAAGTCTGTCATTTATATAGTGTTACAATCTTGTGTGGCTAATCACGAGTTTCTGTATTTTTTTCTAATAAATAGCAGTCTTTATAAATGTAATATTATGGTATGTATAGCTGAGAGCAAATAATTTACTTGTGTGCCGCATTGTTTCAGGTTATAATAGATTGTAGGACTCATATATCATAATGAATTGGCATTTAGCATGGGAAACTTGTACATAATGACACAGACATGTAATGCAGAATATTTGGAAAATATGATGATGAAAACTCACATGCAGTTTCTGGCCGCCAGATCCCGATGCACATACTTCATGCCACCAAGGTACGACATGCCTTCGGCTATCTGCTGTCCAAAGTCTATCAGATCCTTTGTCGTAATGTCCTAAAGATCAAGGTTGAGTGGAGTAAGAAACACAACATCGTGTGAATATGTCAAACATCCTAATAGCTTGACTAGAATTAATATATTACTAAAATAGAATAGCAGTTACAATGTTCTGATACTTTACCAACCTGATAAAACCCCTGTATATTTTCGGAATATATAATATTATACAACGTACCTTTCCTGAATCCCTTATGAAGTTTAGAAGATCTCCGTTTTTCATGTAGGGAATGATGATCATTGGTGGCTCTCCCGGGTGTAGACAGATGCCCACTAGTCCCAGCACGTTTCTGTGGTTAAACTGTCTCATCATGATCCCTTCCCTCAAAAACGTGTTCAGGTTCTGTCTGCTACCTGTGATAGTGTCAATAGACAGACAATCTGAAGCAACCTTTCTAAACTAATTAAGGGTTAATGGCTTCTTTTCCCCTCGGTGTTTATTATGGCATAACGCCTGGTCAGTGACCCATTATCACCGAATTAAGCATGGGTATTATAGTCAATTCAAAAATTCAAAACATAATCAGTAATTTACTTACCTTGCAATGTCTTCACTGCCACTTCAACTTGTGTTTTCAGTGTTCCTTTCAACACTTGACCGAAATTCCCTATTAGGCAAATACCTATTTGTTAAATTATATCGTGTGTCCCAAAATTTGAATAACATAATTGACAAAGTATGCTGCTGCAGAATGCGATATTTAATGGGTCTAAGATACTGGGAACGAGAGACCTGTAGTGAGCTGTACGAGATCGACTTTCCTACGGGCAACACCAAGATGGCGGCCTACTGGAGAAAACTATTTACCTTTTGCGAAGACCTGCCCCAGTTTCAGCCATTTCCGTTCAATGAGTACATCGTTGACAGAACAGGCGATGTCCTCGTCAACGCCTGAGAACAGAGGCTCCTCGTACTGCTCTTCTTTTGATAGGACTTTGAACTCCAATGGTCCTCCACCGTTTTCTGACTCTGAAAAAACGAATTCAATAATAAATGCTTGATACAGTATTACCGAACTATTTCATGAAGGCGGTGGAACGGATAATTGAAATACGAATTATGTATTTCAGTCGGGTATTACAATGCTTCCTGAATTCCACCAAACACTGGCCACATATCCCGGTCCGTTCCTCCTATCCTGTGTTACCTTCACGTGTGGGTTCCCTATCAATCAACTGTCAAGATCACCTCCCACCCACCATCCTACCGAATCAAATAGGCCAAATAGAGACACAGAATTCATCTACCCAAAACACCACTTCTTCCGAAACTGGAGTAGTAAATAGTGTACATACCTGGATAAAAGATTTTCGGCCTATTCTTGCCACGTCTACATCGGGACCCTATAAATTAGCTGTCAAAATCCACGACCATCCACTCAAAGTACTACTTCTGTCCCGAGAGTAGTAAATACTGTACATACCTGGAGGAAAGATCCTAGGTCTGTTCTTGCCACGTCTACTTCGAGACCCCCATGTCCTTCTGATTGTTGATCCCCGGATCTCTACGCTCCTCAGCCGCTCGGCAGTCGGGATGTTTCTCGGTGCCGCCGCTAGAGAAGATGTGCGGTAACGTTTGGGTGGATTTTTTCTGTACCTACAGCACACGATGATGAGTGACGTGAAGGTAGCAGTAAACAGCACAGCTCCAACCATGGATATGATCAAGATGGGCAGGCCAACGGCGAGGTCGGTCCAGGAGGTGGATTCTTGAGATGTCTAGTAGTAACAAAATACAGAAAATGGCAATATCAGAAAGGGATAAGGTTATTAACATGGCAACCGCAGTACTGTTTTGACTAAGGTGGACCTTTAGCATGATTCTCCATTGTTTCACTCCTGTTGATAACCGCTATTCCTCCTCCTATTCGCATGTACATACAATCTCTGTAACTCAACTTCAGTGTAAGTTTTCGTTCTACTGCCCTATTATAACATGCATATGCTGAATGAGGTATTAATATTACTGGCAAAATGGTTTAGTGATATATAAAAACGTTTAGTCCAATTTTCGTAAATAGCTTATATTCATTACCTTTACAACTGCTAGATCACTGCATCCTGACTGTAACTGAGTGCTGTTAACAAGGCTGAAAAACATAATGAGATTGATTAAAGCAATTATTACATATCGTGAGACCATTGACAAGTTAGACGTCCATCAGATATTATAGTATATATCTCGTACCATGCGATGTTTAGAGATCTACAGCAACAAAAGTTGCACAAGTTATTATATGACAAATGTTAACAGTTGTTAACATTTGTTAATTAAAATGTTTGTATTTTACAATATATGTAAGAGGACTCTAGGAAGAGTAGTGGTTGTATTGTGACTAATTGTGGGTTCCTAAAATAAACAAATATACAAACAAACAAACAAACGAACAGATTTACACTTACCTGTGTGCACATTGAGAATTGCAGATGATGTTTTCGTCAGTTTTCACCACGTAAGCATCAATCTTCACCCTGTCTATGGAGTCCGGTCTCATACCGACGACATGTATCATTGCATTTGATGCATTGAAAACATCTCTATTGGGATAAAAGAACAAAAAACATTAACCATTAATTATAAAGATGAGCGGATACATCTGCTTTTTAAGGTTTTGCATTGTTAGCAATGTTGAATCAGCATTGTACGAGTAATGTTTTTTTTCTTCTTAAAATGCACATAATTCATTGTATAATCTAAATAAGATACAACCATCAAGTTAGGGTGATGCAAAAGTTTCTGGTAAACTCTTACCTCACACATGATGGCACGTACGGTTGGTGGCTTGACGATACCTTAAGGGTTACGGATTGATCTCTTTTGACGACGTAAATCTGAAAGGAAAACAGCGTTTTTCCAAATTAACATGTAGCATCCAAATGTAAAAATGGTTTGCAATGCACACACATTCACTAATAGAATTGTAATCATGTCAAATGTAACAAGAAGCCATAGGTGACAATTCTCCGTGAAGTATTATATATTGCAACAAAAAGAAGTAGCCATTGGCGACAATTCTCTGTGAAGTGTGATAAATCGAACAAAGAAAAATTGTTTAAACGCGCGTCGGCTCAGTCATCTTAAGACGCAACAACCAATCAGAGATGCGAAATGCCGACACGTGACGCGGGATTTGCATACAGTCTAAACAACGGGGAAGGGCGCGCGATGCCCGAAATATTTTTGCGTCAATATTCAGCGCCGTGTTTCAAGAGATTAATACCGGGAAACAAATTCTTTTTCTTGTTTTGAACGCATAAACATGCATTTACGCTAATCTAGTATGATTCAGGGTTACTTTTTTTTTACCTGCCATGGCCAGATTATCTAAAGATGTGTGTATTGTGTGTACAATCTACAGAAAGAGAAATGTACATCAGGTCCGATCATCCGATTTTCACGTTTCGGTTTTTTGGACTCGGTTCATGAACGTATTTCGGTTTGGCTCCTGGAATGTGCGAAAAAAATGACTCCCGGGACTGTCTACAGGGAACACTCGCACATTCGCGGTGTATCAGGACAGCGCGACTGGTCGGCATTAGCGCAGTCCCTGTAATTAGTAACAGTTGCACATCAATCCGGCCGAAAGCATGATTGTGTAACACAGGCTACTTCTTCATATACCGGCTCATACTACACGACGCCTTTACAACTAGCAAATCATAAAATTACCCGATCTACTAGTACTGTATGTGCGGTTTACCAGCCCCAGACCACATCCGACCACGAGGCAGAACACATTGATGGGTTGCTCAAAAATATTGTCCATGTTTACAAAGAGCTGCTCCACTAACACTATGGAGCGGCCCAACCCAAAAATATTGGCCATGTGTCGTTGCTAGGACGACCGGCCAGTTGCTACGTGACTAAATACACGCCGCCACTAGGTCGCCACACCCGACCAGTTTGAAATCGATAGGATTACGTCATCGGTATTAACATTTCCTAATGTTGACCTCTGACCACCCCACATGCATTTCCGTCCCCATCAGGCCCGCCGCGACTTACTACCGGTGACATAAACGGACGACAACATTTCAACGACATGGGGATGTTTCGAATATAAGCATTTACTCCAATATCAAAACAGCTACGGTAAAAATAAAAAGACGTGCATCATCCCGGACATAATGCCACACCACATGCGAAATTACACAAAAATGCGACGTACGGAAGAATGCGTTTTGGCTGCGAACATCTTCCAAAAAACTTGGCATCTCTTAACCATGGGCAAAAACATCTGGAACCACTTATCAAAACCACCCCGTATCTGCATGAAGTTCCACCCCCCCCCCACTGCTATTCCAAACAACGCGTTTTTCTGGACCATTCCAATTCGCCTCGTAATTGTAGGGGTGCGTCTGCGATATTACATTGACCGCGAAAGCTGCAACGGCAAAAATACACATTCGTGCATCAACACGGGCATGCCCGCAGACGGCGTATAAAATTGCGTGCCGATTACACAAAGAGAGCCCAGTGTTTTGACTGCGAACACGAAAAATCAGCCGATCACAACACTCCGTCCGGAGGTCCTGACCTCCTTCACGGAGTAACAAAAGTGACTATGAAATGATGTAAGATCTTTCATTCACTCACGTTGATCTGTATTGTGTCAAACAGTCCTCCGCCGTCCCTAGCTCGCACCACAACTTCAAAATGGCCGTCCAGATAACTTGCAAACATTGTTGCTGTGGTAACAGCGCCATCTATCGAGCCGACGAGAAATGCACCTGTAACGAACATGTTTGCTACTGGTCGGTCGTTGTCCGACCTCCGACGAAACAAGATGCTGTCTATGCTATACTGGACAACCCCGTTCGCTTCGCCATCAGCATCCGATGCCTGTAACGATTTTTCTTGGTTAGTGAATACTACAGACATTTGTTTTACAGATCACATTGCATCGTATTTACTTAGGCAAACAAAACTATGCGGTGCATGCATGCTACATGCGGTCTATGCTCTCATAGAAATGTTTCTTTTTGTGTCCAGAGATACCCAGACTTCACCGCATTTTCCAGCATCTGTTAGGGTACATAGAAAGCACAATATAAATACAAAGTATAATCATCATAACGTCATGGTACAAGACTTATTTTCATGTGCAATATATAACTTTTATCTTACCTTTAATTTTGTAATTGTTGTCTGGTAAGGAGAATCTTCTTCAACGACTGTATACAGAAAAATGAAAAGGGAGTTTCAATACTGTTATTTACTTTCGTTGGAGAAACAAAATGGGAGAATTTTCGACATATTAAACTTCACACAAAAGCACATAGTTCAAAGTTGAGGTAATGTCTTCCAAGGAATGTCTCTTAGAATTCAAGAAAGTATAACATTGGGCAGTATAAGATTGCCCACGTACCCAGATACTTGGCGGTATCGACAAAATGCGGAGTATTATCGTTGATGTCTTCAACTTCGACTACAACCTTTAACAGGCTTTCGTCGTCTTCGTTGAAGGGAATGTTGACATTTGTGACCGCGTAATCCGCACTCCGGGTTCTCTTCACGACCAGAGTGTAGGAGTCTCTCTGTTCCCTGTCCAGTGGATTGACGACGCTAATCTCACCCGTACGTTTATCCAGACGAAATGCGTTGTCATTATTGCCTCCTGCGAAGAAATAAATAACGCAAACCGTAAGCTGACACAGGGAAGAGTATGACATATACATTCTCTATACAAAACTGCAACAAGATACTACAGGCTGAAACCTACACTCTTCGATTCCGACGTCAACAGTAAGAGGTAATACAACTAGCTAATGCACCTTCACATGTTCTGCTCTGCTCTTATTGTAACTTAAACACATTCCTAGATGGTGAGCAGCCCATCAAACTCTGCGCTGCTACCTAGTGTAAACCAACACCACAGAGTGTCTGATGCAGCACCCCAGTTACCATGGTGAGAGACGTCCAGGTCATTGACATTTATTCAGAGAACAAGAAGAAGAGAAAGAAACTGAAGAACTGAAACTTCTACATGTACGAAGGTAAACATTAAAATAAAAGCCAAACAGCATAAATTAAATTTACCCGACGTTGTAAATGTTATGTGCAGCTATTATTACATTTACAATTTAACAACATTTTGTACATGTACAACTCACCAACGATATAAAAGAAGACATAGTTGTCTCCGGGTCGTCTGATAGTTCCAATCACAGCTGCTATCCTGGCATTTTCTAGGACCTTTATTACAAACGTGGCGTCTTCCTATACATACAAAAATAAACAGGAATTTCAACCATACGTCTTGGAAATGCAAGTAAGAAAGGAAATGAGCAAGTAACATTAGCAAGAAAATGTGTAATTTGATTAACATACAGGCACGTCTTGTACGTGGACGGTTACTTCGGTCACTGCCGTGAAAGCCTCGGTTGTTCTTGACTCTGTTGCCTGGACCTAATGGGAAATAAGATTAAGGTTTACAGATGGTATTGTGGCAAGACTCAATATGCTGCACAGTATTGGAACCCCCCATACTTGAGCAATGTATTACAGTTACTATTTCTGATACATAGTAATCAGTAAATGTCAATATACATTTGCTGTATCTTACAGTGATTTTGGCTGTAATACACATTACTTTATCAAACAAAACTAATATTATTACGTACAGAAAGTAATAGCTTGATGTTACAATCATGATCACTGACCAGAAAACGGAGGATCTTTTCGGGTTTCTCCAGAGTTTCGTAGTCCAGTGCAGGCGGGTCCACGACAAAGATGGTGACAGTTGCCGCTCCTCCCAACACTGACTTGGGCTCCACGTCAAACACTGAGTCGTCATCTCCCAACAGTCTCAGTCTGAACTCACTGTTCGTACCCTAGGCATACATTAACAAGATACATCGATTGTGTATGTATAACAGTTGCACACTTTGTCTACATGTATATGTATGTCTACCCCAGATGTCTATATTCATGCAATCCCATAGCTAAGGTCCAGATAGTAGGTATTGTTATACATATGAAGCAGGGATAACAACTGTCTATTTACAGTTTTGATAACAACATAATTTCCATTCGTCATTGCATTTGAAAGGTATTAACATCTTTATATAGGTTCAACCAAGATGGCGGCAGCCGACAGCGAATACGCTGGGTATAATCTGTTGCCGCTATTTTGATGACGTAGGTTTTACCTGGTCTGCATCCGAAACCTCCATCTGTAGTCCCGTCACAGGCGTGTGTATGACTGCGTGTTCGGAGATACTGCCGCTGTAGGACTGTCTGTTAAACGTCGGTCGGTTGTCATTAACGTCGAGGACCGTGATCTGAACAGTTGTTTCCGCAAAAGCACCCGAACTGCCGTTCATCATGATGTCTTCTGCCTGTTTGATAGAGAGCAAAACTACATACTGTCAAAAAAGAATTTATAATAGATTGTTTTAAGGTGTGAAATAAAAACGTATATCTTTATGAGCTTATAACATGGATGGAGTTTATGAAATTGACTTTCTTACCTGAATGGTAAGATTTAAAACCCTGGGTGCTGATTTGTCGATCAGGCCAGCCTCTCTGTCTATTACAGATGATGTTGTTATCACACCAGTTGTCTCATTTATCGTAAAGAAAGTCTGTTGATCTGTATTAACACATATAACAAAAAATACATTTTTACATTGTACATATTGATCAGTAACCGTACACACATAAATAAATTACTTTAAATTTGTGTTCGAATTTCTTTTCGTTGAAGATGGTCTTACTTTCGGGTACGATAGAGTAGTGAATTCTGCTGGAAGCACTATGGAGACCGCCTGAAGCTGTAATCTGTAGCACTGCAGTACCCTGTATATTGAGAAAAAAGGTATTAATCAAGGTTAAGTGTTACAAATTCCATCAAAGACTGTAAATATGTAAGCACACACACACACAAACACACACACAAACACACACACACACACACACACACACACACACACACACACACAAAGACAGACACGCGCACACACACACAAACACACGCGCGCACACAAAATACTAGAACTTACCACAACAGCGTTCTCGATAACAACTCCAAAATAGGGCTCATTCAAAAACACGGGTCTGGTTTGGACGGTGGGTAGCATTGGAATCGTCGTGTACTGGCTTCGGAAAGTCCCAGATGTTGATGACGATAGAGATTCTACTATACAAAGAAATGTCCAAAACAATTTAAACAGTACGTCGGTGAACGTTAGACATCCAGGCAATAAGATATACCAAAACACAGTTACTCAAGTAACTGGATATGGTTTCGCATAATTTAAGCAGTAATGGTGAATATAATAGTGCAAAAGACTATGATAAACATTACTAATTCAAGGTTGTTAAGCACCTAAGCCATTCAATGTGACAATGTTATTACTCATAACAAAATATTAGGATCACAATGCGTAAAAGTATACCTGAGAATCAAGGGTATAGCTTATGGTTACGTACCTGTATACGCTCCCATGAAGACGATAATAGTTGCCAAAGATTCCGCCCCTCCCATTTTCGTTTTAAATGCAAGTCACGTTGTAGGTGAAGTTAAACTCCGACCAGGTGTTCAAAATGGTGACACATCTGAGAAGAACAGATGTGAATATAGGGTAGAAATGCAATCAACCTTGTTCGGAAAATACAGATAACTAAGTAAGCAACCTATTAACCAACCACAATCTGTAAGACGAGTCCTACATACCCTCTAGAAGAAAAAGAGAGTAAGACTACAAGGTATAAATCTACCATGAGATAAGCTTTTCCTCTTCTGAGTATCTTTGTTCCACTGAAAACATCATACAGACCACTTTCGTGAATACTAGTAGTTTCATCAGGTTGGTAAGCCACTTAGTAAAGAGACTCTTTTTAGGTACAGTTCCCTGTAACCACTCATATGTGTAGATATGTAAATACTGTACGTTTGGGAATGCATCTACAGCAGCGACACCTGTGCTGCAGTGCAAAGTGAACCAGTCAGAATTGCCCCGAGGAAGGTGACAGGCGGTCACCGAAACGTCGGCTGAATAAAAGACTTGGTTGAATGTGTAAAAAGAGTCTCTTTACTCATCATACAGACCCGTTTGTACATATGCACCTCTGCCCTGTATAGTTACTGAACAAACCCCAGTTATACGCCCTACTGTTGGCATCATGGGAGGGTCAAGCAAATCCTACACAATGAGGGTCTGAATTATTAACGCTACTTTAACAAAAGCGCTATTCACTCGATCTATCTCACCGTGCAGTCAGAGCTGTGATTCATATCACTGCCTAACTAAAGAGCTTATCGATAGCGACTTGTACATGATCTATTTGTTGTTATTTACTCCATACGTTCAAATAACTGCCCTGAAAAGGCCTTGTATTTGTGTGAAAACAACTTAGACACAAAGGGATTTGACCTTCATTTTTCGGGTCAACGACTTGAGTTCTAAACACAACTTAAACGTGATATATTGTATAGGAATGTTACATGGGACATGACATATGTATTAACGATGCGAAAGCATGTCATAAAAAGCAAAATGAATACGCAAACAAATAGGCCTATAGTATCATATAAGAAAATCTTAATTATAGCTTAGTCTATCCGCCATTGTTGCTTTGAAAATGTGCAGAACGTGTAACGACAAAATCAATGATTGTGCAAAAATTGTGAAGTGTTGATAGAGTGAACCATACCTTTTCTTGGGTGTTCAAATCTTCTTCACACTTCAGATCATACCGTGAGAAAAAAAATCCGAGATAAAACCCCTGGATGCCTTCCGTCACGGGGCCATAGTTACTAATTAGACACAAATAGACCTTCAATTGTGACACATCATCGCCAGAATGTCACCTTTGACCTTTGAGATGTTGTCCGACGACTCGAGACGTTGAACCTTCCGCAGGGCACCGAGTAGCACCGAGTAGCTACGAAAACTACCGAATGCCGAACGCCTACGAAAGTTGCCGAACAATGATCACTGCATCAGGTGAACGTTCCGCAGGGCACCGAGTTATACCGAGTATCTACGAAAACTACCGAATGCCGAACACCTACGAAAGTTGCCGAACAATGATCACTGCATCAAACTGAACCTTCCACACGGCACCGAGTCATACCGAGTATCTACGAAAACTACCGAATGCCGAACATCTACGAAAGTTGCCGAACGATAATCATTGCATCTAGTATCAGATATCAAGGTGTTCCCGGCATACTAACGTGAAATTGCGCCAGCAATATGACAGATGTTACAGGGCCCATTACCTCAGTCCTGACATTACCTTCCACGTCCGTTTTATTCAAACATTGCTGTAATATTGCATGGTTGTATCACTTATTTCTCAAAACCCGCCATACAACATGAAGAACCCGGCATACAACATGAAACAACATTAAACAACCAAGCAGACAGGACGATAAATGCTTCACAAGCAGATCTTTATTTCTAGTTGAAGTTATAATAATATGTTTGCGTATATAGTTATTACGTTTGCGTATATACATGTAGTTATTACGTAACACAATGCTCATTCAGTGTGCAGCCGTTCATTCCACGCGAATGCCATTTAAAAGATTGACATAGTAATAGAACGCCACATTCGGATATGCCTTATAGACGTCATAGCTTCACGCCGCTACGTGGTATGTAAAAGATACGTTAAAATACAATTTACAAAATGCAGAAATAGTGCCCATATCTTCAATGTAGACTTGTCCAAACTATGCCCATATTACTGATTGTATTTCAACGGCCTTCGCTCCAACTGACCTTCATTTATTCCTGTTTTCAAAAATGGAAAAAGCCATTTCGGACGCGCAACACTCCGGCCATTAACTAGACTGTATTTTAACAAAAATAATGCTTTTCACTAGTGGTGCTAATGGCAATTGCTAAACTAAGTAATGGGAAAGGTCACTTTGATTTGAGTGGCATGAAAAAAAAGGAACAGCATTTAATGCATTTGAGTTTGAGGACAGGCAAAATCAAATTCATCACAAAATAATCAAACATATTTCCTTGACTCTAGGTACATTCACACAGGATTCTACTTTCATTCAAGTAAAAATTCGAATTTGCCATACGTTAGATATATTCTATAGCGAATGTATATTTTTTTAGCTTTGTTTGGTGCGCTTCGTTAACGTTAAGTTAAAAAAACGATAAAACTAACATCTAAAAATAGAAAATCATTACACGTTGATGTGATTTGGTCAATTTCATTGAGTTTGCCCGAAGGTATAAAAGGTCGAGTTACCGCCGTGATCTTCCGCCCAACGCCGTAGTTCGGAGAAGGATCCTACAGGTGCTACAGGAATTCACCGTGCATGTGTGCATAGTGGAGGCCGGGGGCCAGGGGAGAAGGTTGACGGCTTGCGTCTGTGTGAGTACCGCCTTTATGCTTCTGCTTTTTTACATAGTGAAATTCAAATGGCCAATTTTTATTATTCAAAGCAAAAAAGCACTGCCACTTAAAAAGACGTGAATACATGTGTCATACGTTAAGTATTGTATTCGTGACATGTAATAGGATTTTTGCGAGCATGTACGCTCGTATCAGTTAGCTTGAAGTTAGAAACGCGCACAGCAAGAAATGTCTTACGACGGTCTGAGAACGAAATACACTACTACCTGCTAGAAGAACACTTGATCATTGTAGCCGAATCTACGATGGTTCCTTTTTGTCCCATTGACCCTAGCATTACGTATCCTGTCCATCCTTGTCACATATCAACTGTTACTCGTACCATTCATATTCCTTGACAGGCTCTCATAGACAGATTTGACTACCCCTTTCCTAAGCAACATAGTAATTGTTCTTTATAGATTGGAGCAATTGTGGTTATTCTTTTATTTGGTCTCTATCTAGGGACTTTAACCTTCTATATAACTAGCCTATCCGGGGACTTCTTTCTTTCTTCCACTTCCTCATGTGTATGGAAAGAGCGCTAACTGGCAATTTAGGGCTCTCTTGTGGCTGTATTCTATACCTATGGGGCGCTGGTACTGTGGCAACTGCCATCTCTATCTTTGTTGTTACACCCAAAGCCTGGTATCTGGCTTGGGCATTCCCCATGATAGCCAATTTGCAAAGAACTACTAACTAGCAAGCACTGAGTTGTTGTTTGGAATAATAAGAATCCAGGCCTTTATACGACATGCTTATACAATGACTATCGATGTCAAAATTAAGGAGAGCTTCCTTGGCAAACCATGATATCGTTGTGCCGTTCATTTGAACGTCAATTATTTCTATATATGTCTTGTTTATTACAACAAGATTTTATGTATTTAATCGAAATTATGCCAAACATATGTGATGTTGTTTTCTTCCCAACTTGTTGTCAACTGTATTGTCAAGTATGTTATTGTCAGGGCCTCAAGCATTCATAATTACAAGCGACAATGGTTGCCTAATGCGTTACATGTATATGTACTCAATTCGACGTAAGTATACTGAATATGCACAAGTTCTTTTCGCGATACAATAGCACCGAAGAGCAAAGGAAATCTGGAAACCTGCCAACATTTTTCTCAGTACCTGTCACAAGAAGTGTTTTGCAAATGTAATTTCATTAAATATATACATATATACCACACTTTGATTTTTCATAAACGGCCCTCTGAAAACAATAAATTATTATTAAGAGATATACAAAACAGCTGGAAACTTCAGTAAACTCCCGGTTGTCCTGCAAATTTATGTTGTAATGCTTGACCTTGATTGAAATGTTGTAGTTAATTCAGCAAGGATCAATTAAAAGTCAAGTAGCCATATATACATACATCTACATGTAAATGTTCAGCTTGACTCAAGTCAAATCAGGTAAGATCCCTAGGCCTCCGGTGCCGCGTTGTTGGTCCGGTTCCACACTTAGGACCATCTGTCTTAATACCGTGGTGAAATTAACGTGAAGCCGCCACGTAAAGTGATCCATTACATGGTCATTAGGTGAAGTGGGGATGGCAGAGGACAGGCAAGGCGCGCGTAAAAGGGTTGAAATGTATCGGCACATTTGCAAACCTGTGGCTTTGGACTCGGAGATAGCCTTTGGAGACTTTCATTAGCAGCAATTTAACCCCGGGTTTCATTTAAAACCGTCACAAGTCTTACGGTTGTATTTGCATTAGAAAACCATTTGCTTTGATTGATTCTTGTAATCAATGCTTGGTTCTCAAAGGACTAAAACTTCATCATTCCAAATAATGATAGATAATGGTTTATTTTGTTCATACACACATACATGTACATAAACTAACATGTCAAACACATCTCGCATCCCATAGGCTGAATTGGGGTGTTGACATTTACAAAACGAGGCTCAGGTTTTAAAAAACTAGAATATCGGAATTTAAGACATAAAGGTAACAAGTCGTCATATCATATATTTAAACAGAACTTAGAAATAAATCTCACATATTAAAACAACTCTCAATACAAATGTAAAATGAAGGTAACTATAAAGAACATGTAAACTCTAGCAAAAACGGTAAAATAACAATAATGGAGTGAGGAAGGCATCGTCAGTCATGTCAATGTACAATTAGTTGTTAATCAAGCGCGTCATGTACGGGACAGCGCTGTTTCTGTATCTTTCAGTTCTACATCGCTGGAGTTCTAGGTTGTTAGAATAGCGAGTTTGACGGCTGGTGATAGTCTGTCTGGAAGGTGGTAGAAGGTGACGGTGATGGCCGGATGTTACCAGGGATTTGGAAAACAATTCCTCACGCCGCACGTGGAGAGATGATAGGCCGAGTTGTGAGCAGGCATCAGCGTAGTTGGAGTAGTTGGGACCCAGGATTATCCGCATTATTAAATGATATATGTATTTAGCACCTCGTTGCTTTCAGAAATTCGCTATGAATAATATGATGGCTATATATTAACCGGAAATTCGCTGTGAGTAAGATGATGCTATAAATTAGCCGGAAATTCCCTCCTAAACCAAAAGGACATCTGGCGTTGATGCTAATTACACCCATTGTCGCTGGTCACTCTCATTAATTGGATGTATTTCATTTATCCTACAAATGTTTTAAATTGGACCTAATTGCCAACAATCAACGATGTTGTTGTTTGTTACATCTCGACAACACAACGCCAAGCACGTCGACAGAACGTACTGCACCTGCTTCCGTAATGTACTGCGATCGGCAAAACTTTTATATATGAGGTCGTATTCGCGTATAAGGATAACATCCCGTCTGTAGTTTCCAAATGTTATGTCGGAAAAGATGTCGTCTGCAACAGGCAAAATTCGGATCGATGCAACGTTGAACAAACATTTAACAAGAACCACGAAAAAATCTGGGTTTTCCTCATCCAGAATATTTTTGTTTTGTCACCCTGAAACTACATTAGATGCCTTCAAAGTCGCGAGTCACGTACATGTATGCATGGTTGTGAAACTCGAAAACGTAAAAAAAAGTTGTACACGTGTCACTTTGTTAGGTCATAACCCATACAGAAGCCTTTTACTCGATGTGAAAGCAGATTTGAGAGGAAAGCGCTAACAGCGCTATTTGCAGCTTGTTGAAGAGAAATTGATCAAGGCTCTTTTACATAAGCACCACTTTAGCAAATGGAAGACAGACTAATTGAAGTGATAGCGCGGTGAAATGGGTGAAAAAGCCTCCCTCGTGCAAAGAGGATCACTTACAGAAAAAAATGATAAGTTTTCAGTGTGAACGTGAATACGGGAATTGGGTGAAAGACCTGCGTGCTGCGAAAGCACTGAGTACATTTATAACTGTTTAACTGTTGTCAAGTAAGAAAAGACAAAGACAGTCGAATTTCTTTTTTTGGAAAGTACGTTTATAATTACGATGCTTCATTTACCTCGAAAACTTCAAGTACTTTTGGACGCTTATACGCTTATGGTCGAATTCGAACGCGTATAAGTGTGGTTAATTGACAAGAATTAAAATCGACTATTATGGCTAAAATTGAAAAGCTTTAATCATGGGTGGTAATGGTGTAAAGTATGTTAGTAACTGTCAGCAAAACAAAGGACAGGTTCCATTCTGCATCCCCTGGATATTTTCTACGGTACTGCAGGTAGATTTCTGATTGTCATATCTAATGTTTTGAATAAGCAATATAATCATGGTTAATAAGTACTAGTGCTACATAATGCTACATAGTGTAAACAATAATTATCATGACAATTGTTTTGGTCGCCTTGCAATTTTCCTTGGTACTGAATGCGTTTTTTTAAACAGCCACAGGAGAGGAAGCGAAAAGTTGGATTATTTTTTTTTACTCCTTGTTTCTTTGATAGTGAAGTCTTTCATGCAATTCAAATAACCTGAAGTAAAAAGTTCAGTTTCTTATGCCTTCGTGTTTTTCTCTAGCAACTTGAAGGCAAACTATTTGGAGAGCCTTTCAAGATTCAGTTCCTGGAATCAAGTGCTTGTTCTAATCTCTTCATATTACTCCAATCTCACGTCCATCATCCATTGGAGTGGTTTTTGACGCATTTAGCCGTGCAGGACATTCTGCGCAGGGACTCCTGAGTACTCCCATCAGTGATTTGAATTACCCGTTAAGTGAAAGAGTGGATCTCACCATGCAGTGCACTAATAAGGCTTTTTTGGGACATTGGCAAAGGCCTGCTCAATTTCACTATCCAGGTAACACGTCTAAAAACACGTATCAGTTCCAAATCGTAATGGGTCCGATGGAGCTGTGTTGTAGATGTGGTTTGTGGAAAAATCGCAATGTTATTCATTACCTTTTCTAATGGGAGAAACGTACAAAGCGAGCTTACTGTAAGCAAACCATTAGGATATTGTTGCTGGAGCTCACCATAGGTGAACACGGATGTAGTTGGCTCTTGAATATATGGTTAATGACAAAAACAGGGAATCCGTTTGTGTATACATCTATACAGAATAAATCTACAATCAAAGAACATACACGATAAAAACAGGGTTATAACTATTAGCTTGAAATAATGATATGTGATTTAGGCCATGTAATAAAGCGGACCTTATGAGAAATTTCCTTAGATTAACTTGAACAAGCCGTTACACTATTGTATTGCTAGTGTCTCATTAATGGTAGATTTCCTACAAATTTTGCTCTAAAATTTCAATACAACGAGAAAGACAAGTTAATGAAAAGAATGACAAAGTTTACCATTAGGCTGCTCCTTTTTTCAAATATGATGTACATCATAGCATTCTGAACTTGCTTGGTTTTACTATAATTTTTGAAGAAGTAGAAGACGGAAGGATCCGTGATGGACCATTGAATTTGCCGTCGTTTTTTATTCACCTCATCAGGAACTATTGTAAAAGCGGTGTTTTGTTCATACCTGATAAACAATGTGTTCATGATTGAAGAGAATTTACATTAATTTAATGAGAGGTCCAACTGATTACAGGCTAGATGCAAGGAAGATGGCTGAGCTCCCGTCGTTTCAACCTCCAGTCAATGCTACTCAAGTAGATGAGGAGAATGATGCTGTCTTCCCAACAGCGTTGACAGAATGGTTTTCGGAGGTAAGACAATGGTCACAATCGTCGAACAATCGTCATTGCTGTTATCACAATGGATAACGATGTATACTCTTGAGGCCAATTTATTTTCTTTTTCAAATACTCAATTGTTAGGCTGGCCTACTGGCCGCAGGCTATTTATTAATAGTAACAGGGGCACATCATTGAGTGTAGAGTGACATTTTTGAGTTGCAAAAGACAATTTGTCACGAATCTGAAACATAAAACAGTAATAGAATATTGCATCATCAAATTCGCACAAAACTATGTTGTAGGATTTACTAAGTAGAAAGTATATAGGTCTACATAATTAATGATATTCTTATAAAAACATTTCTTTGATATTCCTAGGTAGGCAATCAAGTTGGGGAAGTGGCCCTTAAACTCCTGTCAGGAGAGGGGGACGGTATGGAGGTAACGCCTACGCCGGGATGTACCGGGAACGGTACCGTCTGTAACGGGACTGACTCCGGCGGCGTGGTGTGGGACATCCCGCCGCTAGCTCACTACATGGTGGGCACGGCCGTGTTCTGTATCGGGTGTTGCGGCATGTTCGGCAACGCTGTCGTGGTATACTCCTTCATCAAGTAGGTGAACACATTGTTTTTTGTTATGTTTACCGAATAAAAACATATTGCTTTTGCTCTGTTTCCTCCTATCCTCTTCTCCAAACCAATAAGGTCAATGGCCTGAACCAGACGTCTGTCACCATGAGACCATGTCACCATGGTGTTGGGTTACATCATGCTGCAATTTTGTAGCAGGAGGGCTTTAGCTATAGACTCCTGTCACCATATATATGAATGTGTTTGAGTAACAATTGACAGAGACCATAAGCGAACATTATGCATCTGATTTACAAATGTTTCCTTTCTAATTTTTCTTTTCCTTCATATCACGATTTCCTGCCTATACATTCTATAATATATGGTTTCTGTTATGTACACTTCTTCAAAATACACAGTTTTATTGATACGCATTGCATCTACTAAATAGTGAAACAGAGAAACCGAAAGGTGTCATTAATAGAAGAATGGTACATATTAGATACAAGTCAAACAGTTGTGACAAAATGCTACCTCGTACCACAGACAAGCCTGCAAATATACTTCTAATCTGCATGAATGTGTATCTGTGCTAATTTCAGTGATGTGTCTTGTGCTAACCTCCAGATATGTATTTTGTTCCAGGCAAAGGCAGTTGAGGACCATATCAAATTACTTTATTATAAATCTGGCAATCAGTGACTTTTGCATGAATATGTTTGAAATGCCCATATTTGCCGTAAACTCCATGGCTAATAAGTGGTTGCTGTCGGATACAGGTAGGTCTGCTGTATTTCCCGTTGCGAATTTCCGTCTTATAAGCGGTCGTCGCCATATTGATGAACGCTAGCTTTAACTGTATCGGCACGGTCCATCCGTACTGTGATGTTTTGTGGGGTACAGGGTTATTAGGGTATAGGTTAGGGTTTTCAGAGCTGCGCTTTTTTGAAATGAGTTCCATGCTTTGCTTGTGATTTTTCTTATTTTTACTAATACCATTTTCATGCTCCTCCCTTACATTTGTAATTCGAATGTTCTTTGTGTAGTATACATTACGCTTTATACGTTTATACGTTTTGGGACCTCAAAAAAGTTAGGATACGCTCGGAAATGGCATCGATCAGTGAGCGTTATGGCACCAAAAGGCGACGACCGTTTACGGGACGGAAATTTGCATTGCCGTCATCTTCTGTCGCTTTGCTTCGTCTCTTCTTGACTCGCTACATTTCTCTTTTCTCCACCGTCCATTCTCGCTGTCAGATCTAAAGGCTTACGGACTCCTGCTAACTTCTTCATCATCAACCTTGCTCTCAGCGACTTTCTCATGAACCTCACCAACATGCCTATCTTTGCTGTTAACTCGGCTTTTCAACGCTGGCTTCTCAGTGACTTTGGTGGGTTCTGCTTAAAGCCGCGGTGTTTTTAAACCATGATATCTGCGTTAAGCTCTGTCAATGTGAACATCAGTCAACATGTAGTTCATCAATTTCTTCAGTGTTCTGTGACGAAATGTCACTGTACTGTCTGCAAACTACACAGGCACACGTTTAGAATTAAGATTTTTGATCCAATACAACGTTCTCTCACCTAGAGAGTACGACCAGTCACTCTGGTCTTCCTCAGTAGTCTGACCAAGTGAGGCTTGTTACGTTAACAGAGATATCTGATATACGTTGTCAGAGGTATCTGGTAGACGATGTCGGCCCCCGTAGAACATCTTTGTGTTGGATCAAAAGTCTTAACTACCAAACATGTAAACATGTAACTACCAACACAGATGGACTTTTATGATGGTACACAGGAATGTATTTTCTCTAATCTTTGACATATCACCTTCTAGTTTGCTTATTGTTTAATATATCAATACATGTGCCGATTGTCTTCCTGCTGTCATTAGAATACAATGTCCCTTATATCACCATATAGGATAGCGATATAAAACAGAAACACGTTTACCCAATACGGCTTAAGCTCTAATTATAGGAGTTTTATTACGTCTAGCTCCTGTCTTTTAAAACAAGAGTACACCGGTATCTTCTTTCCACCATCAGGACTTCTACATGTAGCTATAACCTTGCAGTTGCTGTAAATCAATGATTAGCCAAAAGTGTTATATTATTTTGTAATGTTACACCCCAGGCTATTGTTTACAATAGCACATTATATACAAAAAAGCTTTCCAAAACTCATACTTGTTTTTTATCTGCCTACCTTTGCGATTGAAGCTTGTGAGTTGTACGGTTTTGCTGGAGGATTGTTTGGATGTCTGTCCATCAATACGCTGATGGCCATCTCCATGGATCGGTATCTCGTCATCACCAAGCCTTTCCTGGTCATGCGGATTGTTACCAAGCAACGGGTTAGTTGATAGGCATAATGTTAACACGTTATCTTAAACGATAATTTGAATATCGAACTGGTTGTACTTGAAATTGATTTTCAAACCTATCATAATATTTTTTCTAACGATTTTTAAAAAGTATTCGCTCACATTCAGCCAATGGTTAATTAACTTCGTATATGCCATATTTGCATGAATCTACTGTTTTACTAGATTCCTGTAACAAGATAAAAACATATGCAGAAGCAATGTCTTCTAAAATGAAACGAACGTAAGGGTAATTATTAAAGGGTGATGCCCCGAGGCCCAGAGGTATAATGGTACGGTCCAAAAAGTGTTGATGTTACGGCCTGATAACCGATGGGAAATGAGGCCTTTTAATTGGTCAATGTTTTCTGGCTATATGATATTTTAATGGCTGCACCTCTCTTTTGCCACTTCAAAGGTGATGTTTGCCATCCTCCTGCTGTGGATCTGGTCTCTTGTATGGTCTCTTCCTCCCCTGTTTGGATGGAGCGCCTACGTGTCAGAGGGATTCGGTAGGTGATGGTTATCTATATAGTCGATAAACACTTTGAATGTACATGTCTGAATTGCCTATATGCCTCACACTCCACTTCCCCTTGTCGACAATACACACCACATATGAGGACTTTGGTGCTCAGTTTTGACCGAGTCGTGCGAGCAAAATTTGTGTTAACTACAAGGCCATTGGGATCGCCATGGATTAAAAGTCAAAATTATTATAGGTTCTATAAATCGACGACTGGCCCTAACCAGTATATTACATTCATGTTACAGGAACGAGCTGCACTTTCGACTACATGACGCCGAAGCTGAGCTACCACATCTTCACTTACATCATCTTCTTCACCATGTACTTCATCCCCATGGGTGTCATCATCTACTGCTACTACAACATCTTCGCCACCGTCAAGTCAGGAGACAAACAGTTCGGCAAGGCCGTCAAGGAGATGGCTCATGAGGATGTGAAGAATAAGGTATACGCTGTTTTTTATTTGCTGTCCTGTCACTTGTTGCTGTTTTGATATTATTATTTAGAATCAAGGTAACTGATGATGTATATACGTAGATGATGATGAGAACTTCCAAGACAGGTATAAGGGGGAGAAATGGGAAATAATTAACATTCAAGCAGATATATAATTATGAGTATACTGCACTTCATTTCTGTGGTGAGATAATAAAGATTGGAAATGCTTAAAGATCCTTCTTATTTCATGATCCTACGTGATGATATTACGTGCTCGGCATTGTATATAATTTATATTGGGATCAATTCTGAATAATATCACACATGTTGTTCTTTATCGAAAGGCTCAACAAGAGCGACAGCGGAAGAATGAGATCAAGACCGCCAAGATCGCCTTTATCGTCATCACCCTGTTCATGTCGGCCTGGACTCCGTACGCCGTGGTCTCCGCGCTAGGGACGCTGGGATATCAGGATCTGGTGACGCCATACTTGCAGTCCATTCCCGCCATGTTTGCCAAGTCGTCTGCCGTGTACAATCCTATTGGTAAGCTTTTGATTTCGAGGTAGTTGATATTATAGAAGAAGAACTTTATTGTACGACAATTGTACATGGTACAATGTATGACAAAGTATATAAAAAAGTACTGAATAAGACCTAATAAATCCAAATTACTCAAACAACAAAGGCCATCACAGCTCTTTGATACAGTGTTATAATTGAGTGGGGCTAATCAAAATAAACTCCACCTTGCGAATTTTTGTTACTGAAAAGGGTCTATAGAGATTTTTCAAGAGTTGTCAATGTATCCATCGCCATCGCTATAGAGCTGGAAGAAAAAGCGAGGCCTTTTAACACAATGTAGTGTTGGGACCATAGTATCTATTTGACTGTTAAAGACAGTCAAGCAGAGCTAGAAGCGCTTGGTGTCTCCAATGTAAATTTGAGTGAGTTGATTTATTTTTAAGTTTGTGCATTTTTTCGTGCAGTGTACGCCATCACTCACCCGAAGTTCCGCGCGGCTGTGAAGAAGCACATCCCCTGCCTGTCAGGCTGTCTGCCGGCGGATGAGGAGGAGACCAAGACAAAGACCCGAGGAACCTCCGCTACTGCCTCCATGAGCATGACCCAAACCACTGCTCCAACTGTAAGAATATTATGTTTACCGTTTGATTTTGTTAATTCGTTAATTTTTGCGAGGATATGCCTATACTGTTTTTAATGTATATCACAATTTATCAGCATGACCCCCAGGCAAGCGTGCACTCCGCATCTAGTGTGTCGGTGGACGAAGGCAGCGGCGTATCCCGCCAGGACACCATGATGGTTAAGGTACTTGTTTTATCAGCCTTATCACAGTTCTGAGTACAATCGTGATGCATCATGGCTTAGCTATGGGACAAATTTAACACAAATTCAAGGTGTGACATTTGTGGTTCTATGTTTGGCTACAAGTTTAGATGTAAATTTTTTAAATTACTAATCATGTTTCTGAAACGATTTTATTTGTAATACTAATCATAAAAGTTCATCTGTGTTGGTAGTTACATGTTTAATCTTTTTTGCACAAAAAAGTTCTTTCAACTAGAACTTTCGACCAGTCACTCAGGTCTTCCTCAGTAGACTGACCCAGTGAGGCTTGTCACGTGGCGTCACGTGTGACGTCAACACTTGGTTTAAATGTATCTGGTAGACGATGTCGGCCCCCGTCGCAGATGAATGAAGAGTGATGGGCCCTGATGTTAATAGATTAATTTCTGTACAACATTTCTTTTTTTTTTTCTTTTTTTTTTAAAGATGGAAGTGGATAAGAGGATGGAAAAGGCCGAGGGAGGTGCAACGGAGTCCGCCCCGCAGGAGGGAGCCAGTGTACCGACTGTTTCTGCTCAGATCGAAGTGCGGCCCTCTGGGAACGTGACTACCAAGGCGGAGGTGATTCCGTCACCACAGACTTCTCATGGTTCATCGGCAAGCCCTGTTCCAAAGGTTCTCTCTCTTTCTCTCGACGACGTATCAAATTGCCGATAACAAAAAGAAACAATGAGAAATACCTGCGAACATGTTAAACCAATTGACCACAATACTCCTGCAGGAGGTAAACCTTCTTCACGGAGTAATAAATCTATTAAATCTAAGTAAGCATTCTATATATCTTTATCTTTATTCATAGAACGCTCTATAAGTGTGCATGTAAATGATGTAATTATCTAATATCTAATAAAGATAAGTGAAAGACAGGTATTTTAACGACTGCTTTCTTATAATTTCCATTTATTATATCCAGGTAGCTGAACTGAGCTCGTCTGCCACCCTGGAGAGCGCCGCTATTCCCGGGAAGATCCCCACCCCCCTCCCCAGCCAGCCGATAGCAGCTCCGATCGAGCGTCACATGGCCGCCCTGGCTGATGAGCCGCCCCCGAAGCCGAGAGGAGTGGCCACTACCGTGAACGTGAGGCGGACAGAGAGTGGGTATGATCGCAGTCAGGACAGCCAGCAGAAAAAGGTGATACCTAACGCTACATAATATTGGTCTATGCTATTAGCATACGAGATCTAATGATTTTTAGCCCCTGTACACTGTGCGTGAAGTATTTCTTGTAGTCTGCCGTTCCTTTATGAGTTATCCGGAACCAAAGTCTAGGGTTTTTATACAGTGATTTCCTAAATATGCCAAATGATATGCATTCATTCTACCACATTCCGCACTGTTTAACATTATGACAATGGTTGTCCGAAAATGTGACGGGCTAAATGACACCTTTGTACACAGTCACAACCATTTGGTGATATGAATACAGTTTCCTACTATGTTTTCAGCATGGCTTGTTCGAATGTGAAACAAATTCCGTCCTTCTAAAGGTGGTTGGAGACACGCATCGCAGTCGATCTTTCAACACGACAAAGGACCACTTCGACGCCGAGCGACCGGCAACACTGAAGCAGCCCGAAGAGATCCACAGCGGCGACACGACAAAGAAGACAACCCGGCAGTCTTCCGACACACAAGAGTACGACAACCCCGCTTTTGACGCAGGTATCACTGAGGTTGACACAGACTCAGAGAACGAGACTGAGGGGTCGTATGACATGCTCTCTGTGCGCTTCCAGGCAATGGCAGAAGAGCCCCCTGTGGAAACATACAGGAAAGCCAGCGACTTGGCGATCAATCTTGGCAAAGCCTCGCTGATGCTTGCCGAGGCCCATGATGAAACGGTTTTGTGATTTTGCTGGCTAAATAGGCTGCAAAATTTCAAAACAAAATTCAAAGAAAAACAGAATAATGATTGGCGGCATTGATGGTAAGCTCCTTGACATTGCAAGGATAATAAGCTTACACATTCTGTGTAACTTTGAAGGGCGATTGTACCGGATGCACAGATAAAGATTATTTCACATTCTTTCACACTGTTGACAAAATACTCCTCGTCCAGTAACGTTTTAGAAGGTCCTAAGTATGGACATGCTCTGTAAATGACACCAAACTGTAGGTGAAACGTTCCATGCAGATGTACAATAATAACAAAAGCATCTCACAGAAGAGTGTTAAAACTGCGTATACGCAGCGTGCTGCATTGTGGGTAATTTGTGAAATGAATGTTAATCGTGGGACGAGTAGGGTGGGGAGTTCTCTTTACCTACATTAAGATCATAGTTCATATGTCGGCAAGTGAGTTTTACTATCAGCTGAGATGTATTAATAGAACATCCATACTAATTCAAACGAATGATGAATATGGCTATAAAAATTGGTCTTGTGTTAATGGTAATGCTGATTACAATTTGCGTTAACAATACCTCTAGTTAAATAAGTCTAGTGTCTTTTAACCTTTCTTTGACTCTGTAATTGTATTAATTACCTTGTGTATATCTATTCAAGATCAGCAAATAGTATATTTTAAAGAACGTTTTAGCTAAATGATAAAATATTAAGTAAAATACTGAGCCACTTAAACAAATGTTTGTCTACATACACTAAATGTGAGCGTAGTAAGTTACTCTTATTAAGAATGTCACCTAGAAAACAGGTAAGAGTTATCGAGCAAATTGTTTATTGATGGGAACACTTTTGGAAAGCACGAAAAGCAAACACAAAAATGTTCTTGGTCGTTAAGATATGAAGGCATTGAGGATTGAAAAAAAAGTTTTGTTGTGCAATAAAGTAAAGATCAAATGTTATGAGTATGTATTAAAACTATGTTATGGTATGTAATGAAAACAAACGTAACTGCTGTGGATTTGTAAAAAACATCGATGGCTATGTTGTCTTATTTATACTTGTAACATATCAGAAAGTCAATGATGTGAACCTAGCTCAAATGCTAGTTAATTAGAAAAACATAGCGATATTCAAACGTAGTTGGGGCAATAGTAAGCAAAGAAGAGCAAACTTGCCACGAAGAAAACCCCAGCAACGTGTGCTTAGTTCTATTGCGTGTTGTGCATATATTAGTCGATGTTGTCGATAGCATACAGCATCAGAATATTGTTGCATTGATCTATTTTAGAATTATTGGTATTGATTGATTGACTAAATTGATTGATTGATTGGTTGATAAATGGCGACAAATGCTCTTAACGTTATCAATTTGATTTCAAATTTAAAATCCATTGTTGTCCTTATTATTTGTGACACAGGATTTGCCTGCACACCATTCGTTGTATATAAGCTTTATGTATTCACATTTTGGCAACTTAAGCAGATTATGGTGATTCTTTAAGCGGCAAGAAAATAAATTTGCTAGATTGTGATTAACTTTGGTTGAATATGCCATTTCTTTGTCACGTAAGATACTGAATATCATTAAAATTAAAACTTACTATAGTTGATATGTGTACAATTAAAGATTTAGTTGTTATGTCTTATGGTGAAGTACATGCATAAAGAGAGTGTGTCTTAAAATGTAGGGTTTCCTCACGTATTGTATCTAGACAGATGCATATATGTGGTTATTATGTTATGGGTAAAGCAGACTAGCCTGGGTACCATCCTACTTGTATGCCGGGGCTCCCACACTCGCTTCCCTAAGAAGTAGCGAGTGTGGAGCCCCGGTATACAAGTAGGATGGTACCCAGGCTAAAAGCAGACTTTTTGTTAGTAGATTTACCATTTGACAACATATGCCATACTGTCATGTTGATTAGATCCTTCATGGATCTAATATATATGTCACGTGTAAAACGCAATAAATTTTGCTGAGTTAAAATGTGATATGCAGCCTCTTGTGGTTTAAACTCTTTAATCCCTTAGCGGCTCGCGTTTTAACGTATTTGTTGTTTTTGGCAAAGTTGACAGTTGCAGAACCAGTATTGTCACTAGATGGCGCAGTTGACACGGTAGTTTAATTATATGACATTTAGTTCTTTTTTTCTTCATTTTTCTTGCTCTCACCTTAACGTTTAAGTTTGATTTTAATGGATATTTCATAAATTATCAAATCGAATCAATATTATCTATTAATTTAGAACCTTACAGGAAAAAACCACAGGTAAAATGATTAATTCCTCAACACGAATGTATTAGATTGGAGCTAAAAATATTAGTATATGCACAGTTAAAAACGCAAACCAGCTAATTGAACCAGCACAGATCATAGAGAACATTTTATTCTAATACGTCACGAATCGCCAATAGCCGATAATTTATAAAGCCAGTTTTTTTGTCCCTAACCATCCATTTTCTTCCTAACATTCGTAACTGCAGCAAATAGCATTTGCAATATTTACGTCTAGGTAGGGGCAATGAACTTGTTGAAACGTTATGTTTCCTCGGGATATGTTCTTTCCAATAATTTTATGCAAGAAAAAGAAATAAATTTACAAATAGACAAAAAAAGTAAATGGAAAACAATAAGCTACACAGCTTACACTATAAAACCACGGCACGTTTAGTCTTGATAAAGAAAAAATATAACGTCTTTCCTACAGAACCAAGAATATCCTCGAGATATTTTAACACTTTCCTGACAGTCTTCAGAGGATATACATCGAGACTCTCTAACTTTAATATCAAGGACGCGAAGATGATCGCTGAATGCGACGCACGGCTGAGCATGTCAATTGAGTGGCATGTAAGGGCTGCGTGTTCTTATTGTGTGTGACGGTGGCCTCTGTGTCAGCAACAAATCATGTCTGTAATGGGCACACGACGATACGATTTAAAGCACGTAATCCTGACCTCGCATTACAGCCTCTTGATGAATAGTGTTGCAGTTAGAGTCCACATCAATTTAGCAAAATAAATATACATAAACTAGAAAGGTAACATTTGCAAAGCAAATGAATAAAGTTTACCTTCACATAATGATCTTCTCTGTTAATTCTTACTAAAAATTCGTATGTATATGGTGACAGGAGTCTACCCCCCCTGCTTTAAAATTGGAACATGATGTAACCCAACACTAGTTACCATGGTGACAGACGCCTGGCTTAGGTCATTGACCGTATTGGCTTGGAGATTAAGAGGAAACAGAGCAAAAACAATATGTTTCCTTCGATAAACATAATTATCAGCCATCGTTAACGTTGACAAACAAGACAATCTTGCACTTTTAACCGGTAGATTTGTAGATATTACAATGGAACATTAACGATTAAGTTTTGGATGCGATATGTATATATATATGTATGTATGTAATAAAAATATTTTTTTTACAAAGTTCATCAAGTTCAAACAAATCATCTGGTATATTTGGTATATTTATAATTGATATCTGATATTGTTATAAATGACTAGCACGGCCTTGGTTTTTGTTAGGTATATGTTACACGCCACCATCTATAATAAGTCTAATTTTTGTCCCTGCTAATTCACGCTGCGCCCCATCTCCATTCATTATGTCTACTGCGCTACACAACGCTGTTTGACAACCATGACATTGCGGTAAGCCATGATAACACGTTTTACATATTGTACCTGGCAGCCGTAAATGGAGAAAGAATTGCAGAGGCAGCAACAATTCCTTAATCTACGGGGAAGAGGAAATAAGTGGCTTCTCGTTAAATTGGCCTCATTACAAGCAGAGCTTGTATAACGTTCTTTTTGGATTTTATTTTTCATTTAAGACGTTAATAAATCATCAACTTTCGAACATTTAAAACGAACGTAAAATACCTGCAATTTGCTGATTTTACTGCATGATGCATTGATGGCAGCTTGTATTGTGAAGAATATTTCAAGTACTTACGTATACGATCTTCATAAAGAAACATTAAACATGCACGCATTTTGCTAACAGAAAATGTTTCAATCTAGGCCACATATGATAAATTATTGGTCTCAATGCGTCTGCCGGATAACACTGGCGACGAAGGACGATTTACGGTATCTTTATCATTTGTCATTAAATGTCTGCAATAATTGTGTGAAATCCTTGCGGTTATGACATAAACCCGACGGAATTCGGGACGGAATTCGGGACATGGTCGTAAAATGCTGACGTTTTGCCATTAGTACGATTGAATCTTACAATTTTATGACCAAATATTATAGTTATATATGGACGGTTATAACTTTCTAATCTAAGTTTTCTATAACAAGTATACTAGTGTACTAGTATTGGTTTCTCACGTTGAATTTTTTGCATCACCCTTAGCGCTCTTTAATCATTATTTCGTAACTTCTGAAATTACCTTGTAGTCCATGTTCAGATACCCTAGAAAAATATAGCAGTATTTTTTTTTCTGCATTTTTCCGATATACTGCGACATTTACTTACTGTCGGATGCCTACGACAAGCACCAACAAACGTGTCTCTCCCTGTCTCTGTTCAGTGTAGGTCTGTGAGCCCCAATGTAGAGAACCTCCTTCACTCTTGCAAAGGAGTCCGATTCAGAATCGAGGATTTCAACCACTTCTAACTTGATACTTTTAAGTGTCCAGGAGATTTGATATGAATGTTTCAAGATGAGCTTTCAAACTGTTTTGAGTCGTTTTTACTCTAGGAGGAAGTTATCACATCTTGTACCATAAATCGTGGAGTGACCGACTAAAGTATGATGGCTCAATAAATAATGGTCTCCTTCCAACGGACCGGTTGTAGGAAGCTTTCCAAGAAGTGGCCTTTGAAGCAAATACCTTTAGTTCGAAGTACTTTATGATTAATTTCCTTTGCATTCACTTTTAAACTACCTACGCACATGTACTTCAGCTTAGATGAATTACAATTGCAATCGAAGAGGCTAAAATAACAATCAATTTTGCACTTGAACTTCTAAAATGGTTTTTAGATTGATATCCAGTAAGTCGAAACGCCTAAATCTAGCAATTAAAGTTTGCAATTAAACTCCAAGTATCCATCAAGGACTGTGTAGGGATTTACCACAAAGATGACTAGTCTATCCTTTTTGGTATCTTTGTCCTTGTTATATATTGGTATCATAAATGCACAAGGCATGATTAATCGGTTTAACGTAGCCAGCTATATCTTCAAACCGCCAGTAAATATGTTTTCTAGTTTTGTATTGGTCGTATAAAATACATATATGGAGCATCGTTCCCGGGCGTAGTATATATCCTAAGGCCCAAACGCAATCACCCTCAATCATGTCGGTTATCGTAATAACTGCTTCATGTCTAGATAGCCCCGAGGGGAAACATGAAGGAGAGTTTCATAGATAACAAAACGGAGATGTCCTATGTCCGGCAATATGTTACAAATGTTCATAGGGAGTCTCGATATCAGTTGCTTATGTACAATTTAAGGCTCCACATTCCAAAGGGTAATGTAGAGTGCTGTTAAGTTTCTTTGAAATAGGACACATCGAATATGATAATCCAAATGGGATCCCTGTACTCAAAGTCGCTTAGAAAGTAATTTAAGTATGAAGATCCGTGCTATTTGTCATGCAGTATTTTGAAGTGAAATATCTCAAGAAAGTGGGAATACGTACATATATTAATTTCTGCTTTTAGAGTCTATTTTTCCAAATAAGAAATGTGGTATTGGTATATAACAAGAGCTAAAGTATAAAAAATGTAAAATGTTTCCTTCCTAGAACACCATGGTATAGAGTTCCAAAGTAATATATATAATATAGTAATAATACATAATCCGAAATCAATGAACCGTTGAAAAATGACTCTCATCATTCGATAAAAACAATTCATAACTCAGACCCTTCTGGCAAAGGATTCTAAAGCCTATAATTTTGTCATCAGGGTAATCCCTGAGAAAGGGTCACCGTACATTTCTCACATAAATGTCGCCATAAAGTAATCCCCTGGTGGGAAAATGTGATTCACGTAATTCTGTGCTACATAAGTTCAGGAATATTTCCAAACATTAGGTAAGGCCACAGCAAGTACATTTTATGGATGACATCCTCTGCAGACTCCAAATCTGATGTAATAGGGCGAAAAATATTTTCAATTTTGACATCATAAGTTTTGTTAAACAGGAAATGATATATTGTGCTAAGTATTACAACATTCATTTCTCACTGAAAAAAACATGGAAAAATAAAATTTTTCAATCACAGTACAAATGGATTTGATTTAATGGGAACGTTACATATGCACAGCCACCATCATATATAAAAGGAATGAAAGACATTGCTATGTTGGACACTGCATCGAAGTAAGAGACAAAATGTTATTATGTTTTCATATTAGAATCAGCTTTGAAAATTATTCTGTATCTTTCTGGTTTATTCAAAGTAATAAGTTTCAATATTTTACTATCACACTACCTATTCCATCCTACAACACGAAATGTCAGTTGTCCTCAAGCTGTATTCTTGTCACACGGCAGGCAGCCAGCCGGAAGAAGCCAGATGGCAAGATCGTATATAAAACGAGGAATCAGTACCTTGCTATATTGAAAGTAATTACGCAGCCTTCGAAATGCTACCGGCATTACTTGTTCATAACGAAAGCCTGCGAAAGAATTTTACTATGCTATACATTAAAAAAGGTAACAACCCGACCGTAGGGTGATTGGAACTGGTATAGTATAAATAAAATGACTTTGCACTCTTTCTTTGTTTAAACGATGGTAATAGTTACTACAGCAGTAAGCTTTAAACTAACTTAAATGGAGTTTTCTTTGTTTTTGCCCAGCTTTGAATCAAATGCTTTAAATAAATCAAGAAAAAATACGATGTTTGTAATGATAAGGCTCTCGAAAAGTGATCTTTGAGAGAACTAGTTTTACTGCCACACTAAACCCTCATTAACTCCTCCGCCATGTAATCAGGCCGGATACAAATTAAGGCCAGTAGGCGATAAGGCGATGTCCCTTACACCATATTGGTTATCCGTCTTAAGATTGTCACTGTACAAAAATTAAGGGCGCAATGCGATGCATATCTAGAGCAAACACATGACTCCTATAAACCTATCCGTCTCTCTAGGATCTTCTTTGCCTGTTTTGTATTAGCCTCTGTGAGAAAACGCTAACGTACGTCAGGGTGGCCCCTTAATGATAGGGATATCTCTACCAGCCTTAATTCATAAAAGAAGAGAAGGGAAGCAGCAGAATCCAATTATTCCAAACAAACCATCCGTGATTGTCTTTCATTGATTTTAGTGTCAAACCGCCGTCCTAGGATTCCACATTTAATGCCGCATTTATCTTTAAATCTCATTTCATGATGCTAGTATACCGAGTTACGAATGGATCAGAGCCGAGGCTAAATCATTTACCGATTCCCGTCCTTAGAATCTGTACATTATAAGGCAAACGCGTAAATTCATTTCTCCTTCAAACGAAGGTCAAACTTTAAAACAATCTTACAATCTAATGATTCTATCCTAATGATAGAAGAAACTCCTCCAGCATCAGCTTCTATAGAAGCTCTAATGAGAATAATTTGATTTACGTTTCTTAACTTTGTTTGTATGTGATTGGTTGACGGGCCTCAGACATATACAACTTGGAGAAATCGATTGGTTAAGCTTGGGTGCGTTCAATGTTTCGATTTTATGGACTCGCCCCCTCTGTTAAATTGCGAACAAATGAATACCAGTAATTGTCAGCCTTGCTGATGCATGTAAATCACAGCTCACATTACGCTACTGGTTTCAAATTACGCGGTTTGCCAAGAAAAGTCATCAATCGTTAAAAATAAATCAATTGTTTCAAAGTATCCAAGACTGGAAGCAGCTTAAACAGAAGAAAAAAGAGAAAATTTGTTGAAAAAAAAATGTTGTAAAAATTAAATATCATTGCTGATGGCAGTAAGACTATATCATTACTAGTAGAATTATTTCTTTTAGGGAATGTAAGAAGTCTTTATATTATTGCATAACGCCTTTTGTTGACATTGCTTTCTTTCTTTTAAAGCGTATAGCAATATATCATGTTTAGTGTATCAAAAGCTATCGTAAAATGCTGTGGTCTCCCCTTATTCCCATGTGACGACCTACCTCATTATTGTCAAACTGGCCCTTGCAGGTAATTGGAATTAAAACGTGATGTCTAGTGCTGTCCTGTTCCCCACAGCTAATGAGTATTGCAGGCACCTTTGCCTTCCCCCTGTATTTATCATAGAGCAGTGACCAGGGATATCGCAGACCCATCTCTCCTTACTGCTGCTCAGAGTCTACTCCAGAAGTGCTCTGATAAGGCGGTGCTGTTTGTCTAATGTACAGCCATTCTTTAAAAGCACCCAGTGCAGTTTTTAGGGCTTAGAAATCAGATTTTTCAAAGTAAATGTTCTAGCTTCTTACGTACATACTATGTTGAAACAACACTGTCCGAATGTATTTCATGACATTCATGGAGCAAAAATGCCCAAAATTCTTACGAAAAACGGTTACTGGAAGGACCTCGATTGATATTTTGGGTACCACCCAGGAAATAAAGAAATCTTGGGGCTTATTTCTGCAGTTTTAAATGCCTAAAGTATGAAATAAACGTTTCGCTATATTCTTGTAGAAACTGTAATGCCTTCGAAGTAGTTCAAACCTTTATTTACTGTACAGGTAGATTCTCATAATTAATAGATCTTCAATTTGTCTTGTTTATACCCATTTCTTCTTTTACCCATTTTGTAATATTTTGTGTGTTTTACTCTCTTGATAGATGTATGTGAAAAGATTTAAAAAACTGACTGTTATATCGAACAGCACCAGAAAAACTTCCCAAGTCTTCCGTGACGTCACGTTCCTTTATTGATGTGTTCCAGCTCTCTAGGCTATCATTACAGCCGGGATCGATTTAGCATAAAGATGAGTCCTGGAACGACCCAAGCGTCTGGAACGTTTTCCTTCCTGACAACTTTCGTTACAGCGTGACAAGGATCTGTGAAGCGATCACGTCATGCCAACGAATAAAATCACTGCCTACATATAAAACTCCCCTGGACAGGGACACCCGTATTAAAGTCGTTTAAAAACTACGGAAGCGAGGGAAATCGTAGGATTGTCCCTCATCCGCAATGCACAATCGAATCATTTGGATATTCATTGCATTAACCGAGCAACGCCGCATGCGCCGACCGGGGAAATGACGAGATCCTTCAGATCGGAAAGCCACGCGCCGAAGTGTGTTTCACGAGCTCCCAAGACGGACCAAAATGTCCGCGAACTGACTTTGAGTGATGCCGTTCTCTGACTTAGGCTGACAGCACCATTTTACCTCCACCATCAGCAGTTGGCAACTGATCTGGTTCAGGTGATTTTGGTTTCCCCAAGGGGACTTCAGCGGACCGGTGAGAGAGACTGTTAAGAGGAACATTCTACATACGTTGCCGTTACTGCAATTTGAAAGCTCGCGCGTTACTGTACTATAGCGTTGAAGCTAGAAGGAAACTGCCGAGAACCAAGATATTGATGTCAAAGTCAGCGAAGGAAAGTTGACATCGAAGAGCCTGCATTCTGCATTACATGTATGTGTGAAAAGGTACGCATTGAGTCATCAATTCCAGGAGAATCCCGTTCTCCTTCGCCACTTAAATCCTCACGCCTTGAGAATTAGACATTATCAGTCATAATTAGCAGCAGTGAAGCATCTTGAATGTGACGAAGTGGGGATCCCACCTGCCGGGGGAAGCGCGACAGTTCCTACTGTAATTTCGAACACTGAAGATATGGGTATGTCTTCTCAGCAGCGACAGACGGCTCCTTGAAAGCTGCAGACATGGCGGTATCAAGATCCCTGCCTCTGAAACGATAGCCTCTATACGTCTGACGGATGGAATTTGCGGGGACCCGCCGGTCTAGAAAGAATTGTTAACTCCAGTGCATCGAGACGCACCAGGCAGCAATGATGAAGACCCACGGGCTGGCGGCAACCCTGTTTGTCTTAGCCTTTCCAGGCATACTACTGCAAGCCACACATGGATACCCGGACAAAGTAACGATAGGTGAGCACAACGACCTTTACTCGGTTACGGTTCATTGAATTAAGCATTACATGGCATATATTGAACAGAGTTTTTGGATGCGCAAGAAAGATGTTAGCCAATACGGGACCTGTAGACATGAAAAATCGACAAGAGTTCGCTCCAGGGCAGCCAGAAAGGCACTGCAACATGACCAAACGCGGCCCTTTCCTTATGATTAGAGTTGATACCGCGGCTGCCTACGTGAAATGTCACAAGGTAAAGAGAGTGACACATTACCTCCAGGCAATTTTTTGTATTACATTTTCGTCAGAGCCATAGTCGTGATCTTTGCTTTGACATCCATGGCGTTTCATCTTAGACCACCTACGGCCTTTGCCTCTTTACCAGTATTCTATTGACCTTTGAGGATCTGGGTGTTTTTCCCCAGTAAACATTAGGTATCTAGGGGTACAAGCAAAGGCATTATATCAACGATATGTACGGACAGCATCGAAACAGCAACAAAAGATCAATACTATAATTTCAATTATATCTGTTGACTGTAAGAGGACATTTGACACCAAATGGCTGTCTATGCTTTTTTCCAAGTTTGTGCGTGAGACAAAATTGTAAAGCTCAGAAGTTAGAAAAAATCCATCTGTATTTGATAGATTTTATATATTTATTTATCCATTTATGTCTCACAACAAAGACCTTTCGAGCGGTGATACGCATCGGAATGCTGACGGGTAAAAACGCTACAATGTCGGACTCGGGAGGCTATTAACATGCCGTCGGTTTGTCTTGCTTGACAGTCTTTCTGTGCTCGTATAAAAAGGAATGTGCCCACGGGCGCTGAAATGATTTATAGCAGCCCGTACTGTCCTAATCTCTCACGTAAATTATCTCAGGTTCCTCTATTCCTTAGAGATGCACGTAACGACAGACGCGGTGGGAGCCGTTGTTTAATATTGCCAGGTGCTGATCAACTGACAATATAGAACAACTTCAATTGTAGCTATTCTAGGACTCCTAACATTTAAGGAAAATGTAAAGAAAACCACTTACGTAAATTATATCAGGTTCCTTGGAGATGCATGTAAAAGGCAAACGCGGTGGGTGCTGTTGTTTTAAATTTACAATATTGCCAGATACTGCTGACTATACACAGAACAACTTTCAGAATGTCGCTATATATTAGTAGACGTGTTATTTGAAAGAATTTAGAAGAAAACCACTGAGGTTTCGTGGTTTTCAAACCTTAGGTAAACAAGTATTATCCATAATAACCATATATATATATATATATATATATATATATATATATATATATATATATATATATATATATGTAGTAGTAGTAG